AAGATAGCTAGATAGATAGGGGAATATTTTATTTAAATCACACTTTGTTTGAATTGGATGTCTTTTGTGTTTATTTATAGTTCTTCATGCAGTATTTTTTTATCCTTTTATGTCTTACGCAAACTGCCTTGCTGGAGGAGCCTGGAATGTCCGATTTTCATTTTAAAACAATGCTATAGCTAGTTTGCATATGAAAATAAACCCTTTGTATTTGAATGTATCTGACATATGCATTGGCGAAATATTCAGATCCTTTAAGGGGATAGTTTAGTTTGTATATTGTTATTTTATTTTATGTTAAATAAATTACATTTGAATAAAACAAACAATGTTTCCCTTTAAACCGTAGTGGCGTAGAAGTATAAATATACCTATGATGATACAAGAATCGTGTGTTTGCATTTACTTATAATTTTATTAGAATATTATTTGTATTTATTTGCGCAGTATTCAATATAATAATTATGTATTATCTATGACAATTGTATTATTATTATTATTATTATTATTATTATTATTGCTATTAGGCTAGGTTTTTTCCATGGTTGCCCTGTGTTTTTTTTTTTTTTTTTATTATAATAATTGTGTACCTAAACACTTTAACATAAAATATGGTAGGCTACTTGTGTGTTATCTGTCGCCACTTTTTGTTTTTTTCAGACTCTCTAAATAACCCTAACCCATTGGATTAATGTTTGTTATTTTTTTGAGAAATGAAAAGGTTAATGTGGAGGAGCCAGCTACCTGCTATTAAAAAGTGGCGGCAGCCAGGTAACCCACAAGTATATTAAAATATGTGTACGGGCCTACTCAAGTAAAGCATGTCAAATTGTATTTCATTTTGTAGGAGCTCTAATAGCCTATCTAGATGCATATCCCCACTGCATATCATGGACCCTGGTAGCCACAAAGGCAGATCTGCTGGGCTCCATACCTGCAGCCCTTTGGACAGAGGGCAGAACAGCACCATATGGACCAGTCTCCGCAGAGCTCTCGGCATCATGAGCGGCTGGTGAGGAGGAGAGAGGAACCTGACCACTATCTGATCACATCGTCAGGGCAGACCTGCGCCATGCGTCGCAAATAACCAAAACCCAGCGCATCTGCCATAATATTTCCCGCAGATTTACTGCAAAAATGCCACAGAGCTGACGCACACGGTATTTCAAAATGCTATTTTTAACACATCGTTCATAAGAAGAAAAAAATATCAAGAGAGCGTCCTTGAAATGGGGCAATTTCACAATTCAGCTCCATATGGGGGAGAAAATCTCGGCTACATCCCAGATTTAAAGTCATCGTCCTCCTCAGAGTCCAGCGATCACCAACAAATCCGATTAATTCAAAAGCATCATCTTATTTATCCCATCAGATTAAGCTAGAAGAGAAAATGTGACATATAAATAGCCAGTGGGTCTCCCGATGAGCAGTCTGCTTCCCAACGACTCATCACTGCGCTCCTTAAAGGGGAAGCTGCGGGCTCTCAGCCGGGAGAGAGATGCTTTTAGTCCGCCGACACAAATCTCTCCTCTGCTTCCTGTCCGTCTGATTTCTCCCAGAGATCCCTTGCTTCAGCCTATGGCTTAAAGTCACTTTAATATTTGTATTATTCTAAAAAACAATGTGTTCTACAAGATTACATTTGAGAATATAATTTTACCATATAAAATCTACATTCACAGATTTCTCAATGTTTCTCAATGAGTTTAATCCTAAAGTGCACCTTTAAAGGAAAAAAAATGTATAAATACAAAAAAAGGAAAAGTACTATTTAGGGAGGCCAGGGACAGTTTTTGTGATTTTTCCAATAAATTAATAAATATTTCCTATGGTAATTTGCATCATTATAAACCTCAATGTGACAACTTCTGAAAAACATTTAATATAAATAGTTATATAAAATATAAAAATGCAGGTTGCAAAAAAGCTTTAACCCAATTTTACTGAGTGTCATCATCTCGTCTAAGTCATGGAAAAGAAAGCTTGTTGAGAAACGTATTTGGTCATTGTTTTTACAATGCAACGCTCTAGCAAACCGTGTCAAATACCGATTATCAACAAACCTCTTTACTCCTTCTATCAGAATTTGATCAATTGGATCTGATGCCATTTTTTGTTAGAGTGCTCATCTTGTCTTGATATTTTTGAAAGTGATGCTTCACATTCACAATACAACCATTACAAAAATTATTATTCGTATAGTTTAGAGATGAACAGTGTTATGACAAATAAAAGGAGACATGTGTTTTTGCTTATTTACCTAAAGAGTTTGCTGTTTGAATTCCCAGTTGAAAGATTGTATGTGAAAGTTCAGTTTGTGTTGAGAAATGAATAATGGAATAACATCAGTTGCATTGCTCATTTTATTTTTGTGCAGATGAAGTACATTGCTTCACATGCATACACCTGTATCTGATCCCATGGACAGTATGTTTCAGATGAAGGCAGGTGTGTATGGTTAGCAACATGATTGACAGATCTGTTATTTTTATGCCAGCGCTTCGTCTACCGTAGGAATTGCACCGGCTGCCATAAAGCGAGGTGATTTCTGCAGCAGTTGTCCTCTTTGTCAAGTGTCCTGGCCTGGTTCTCTTTGGCACTAGTTCTGGATCTACAATAAGCCCTCCCTTTGGTCTGTATGGGACACGTACCTCATAAAATGCAGACCCTTCTGAGGACTTATGCAGCCCTGGATCTGTTTTTACTGTAGGCCCAGTGCTGGTGTTGACCGTCCCTGATTCCTTTTCAGCTGCTGACCCTTCTTTAGGTTTGTTGTGGTAAGGGCAATCATTGAGACGGCAGGTATACTCACTCTGCCCTTTGGTTGATTTGTGTCCCTGCTCTTGTTTTGTAACTTGTGGAGGAGCTTTCTGTTTGATAGGAGAGAGTATCCCTCCCTCTCGCTGTGAAGTCAACGGTGACTGTAAAAACTACACTGCGCATGCTCAGAGTATTTCCCCCGTTAATGTGTGTGGCAAAAAAATAATGACCAGAGGGGCACGGAGCTGCCATCCCCACCATACGTCATCTCACATCATTCAGAGCTGATTGGCTGTAAGTACGTGTGCCGCGAAAAGTGTGGTGTGTGAAGAGGAGACGAGAGAGCTGCAGTGACGCGTCCTAAAACCAGGAAGTAAGCACAAAAAAGCAATGAGGTTTCTCCAGAGGATTTTAGAAAATAGCTGTAAATAAGATCTGTGGGAAACGTACCTGTTAGATAAATGCACGTTTTGATTAGCCGGATAACATCCACATGTCTACCCTACTTTTATAATTTTTTTATCATAAATCTATCGATTAGATTTATGATAGACTTTTGAAACTACAAGAAGATAAGGAGGACTTTTACAAAAAAGTAATAGAAATGTTTGTCCAGAAGGATAGGCAAATGGACTTCATCTTCAAGTCAAGGTAAGACCGCCATTTTATTGAAAATGGGATCTTACTAAGAGAGAACAATTCAATATTTAAATGATAAAATGACATTTTTTGGGTATCCTTTTGTTGAACTGTCTGTTTAAAATTAATCGAAGCATCAGACAAAAAAAGCTTTTGAAAATAATATTATATTTTGGTTTAGGTCAAAATATAATATTTGTAAACCTGAAGAGTCAGTGCCAGTGCCTCGCCAGCCATGAACCTCACTGCACGTCACTGCAGAAGCTTATATATAGACATCTAAGTTTTTTGTGCCCCACCACTTTTGTACATATAAAAACGCCACTGATGACATGGCTGCTATTGAATGAAAACATCCAGTATCGCTTAACCTCATTGTAGCAGACAACCTTTTTGCACCATCTCACCTCAGGGGAAGGTGACACCAGGAAGGACTCAGAGTATGTACTGGACACACTGAATGCAGGTGAAGGAGATTCATCGGCACATTTGAACTCCCCTTGCAAGAAAATATTCTCTGAAAAAGTCATTAAAAAAACTAAGCACTTGAAGATACTCCAAGACATGACATTACAAAAACACAATTTAAGGCACTGTCAGACTATTCCAATAGCAGAGTTCAATACTTAAGAGTACCTTCATCAAAATGCCACTCTGACTTACCCCACTGCTCTTCATAGCAAAAGGCCACCTCCTTGTTATCTCTTGATCTGTCATCCCTGACATGATGCCTCATTTCATCCACATGTGTGGACAGAAACTCTGGGATGTCATCTGGCTGTGCAAGGAGTGTTGCCCTGGTCATGCACTCCAACAGACATTTAACACCATAAGGTGTGAAATTATGAGCACACATCTTTTAATCGGTTATTATGTCCATGCTTTTCTGAAGCCATCTTGTAGACATGTGATTTGTAAATGATGCAGAATGTCTGTTACCAGGGTGATTCTATTTTGTTCTATATGAGACTTGTTGGAGGGATCCTGAAATCTAATATTTGTATTGCTAAATAATTGTAATATGTGTGCTTATAATAAAACCCAGAGCAATTTAATAAATGTCCACAGAGACATAGGTTAACCCAATTTAAATAAATTACTGTATTTATTTAAATTGGGTTGAATAAATACAAAATACTGAGGGCCAAAATTGGTTAACCCAATTTAAATAAATGACTGATTTATTTAAAGAGTTTTACCTATTTTATCCCGCAGTAGGGTGAAGAGAAGAGGGTTAAGGATGTTTTTGATCTGGGGGACACAGTCAATACAACATGGCATCCCAGTATTGCCTTCAGGTGACGTCGGAAAAAAATACTACATCTCAGCAGAAACCAATTGAAGACATAGTACAGCTTCACAATATGTCAGTGTTTAAAATCGTACTCTTAAAGCAAAAATTACACGTATAAATTATTTTTCTTAACATGTATTTATAGTAAAAGTTATAGAGCCAACACGTCTTTGGAAGTCGGAGATTACGAGGAGCTCAAAAGGCAGCATCAGCTGTGTTCAAAGCAGATGGAGGCTGGGCATCGGGCGGCTCTGCCTTCTGCTCTGCTTCACAACACAGGGACGATAACATACACAGAGAGCGGACGACTAACTGTTGGCAACTCTACAACGCTGCTGGTGGCCGCAGACATATACATAACGCTACCTGTAAGGTAAAGTCTGTCATGGGTTAACGGGTAGTTACGCCAACGGCACAGACCCATATGTTAGCTAAATGACAGGTTAACGGCAGGTTTAGCTATCTTCAATTGGCTGCTAGCTACAAGTGCTAACGTTAGGGCAAGTCAACGCCAGCTTGTGACACTCGCTAGCCTTTTAAAGTTGTATTATTGTGGCCATCTGGCAAACGTCTAGCGTTATTTGTTCCCCTTAACATGAGCTGTGAGCCGGTAACTAGCTTAAAAAGACTCTGTTTATTAAACGACCTGACATAATTGAATGGCTTATAGTGTTTCATGAGCCACTTAAGCTAGCAATGCGTTCAACATCCTTCCAGAATACCGTTAGCTTGCCGGGTTATCATTGCACTGTGGGGCACAACTGTCCCCTGCTCAGCAGCCTCCCTGCACGTAGCATACCGCATTATGAGTGAGCATTATGTAAAAGTCAAGATTCACGTCGAGCAAATGAAATCATTCGGAGAGGATGCAGAGAAGCAGGGTGTGGATGCTGAGGAGGAGCAGGTGGCCGTGTCTTCGTCCCCCCCCGCCTCTGTCTCCCCAGACCCGCCCAGCATCACCATAGCCGGGAGAGACGTGTCCAACACTTTTAAACATAGGGGGAAAAGTCGAATCAAGATGGGGAAAGATGACAAGAACATTTGTGGAAAACACAGCTTGGATGTGTCATTGCATGGTGGGAGAAACGTGAATAAACTAGGGCATGAGCGGACACTTCACATCAAAGGGACTGGAAAAATACTGCAGGGTAAGAATAATGAGAATAATGGGGTCAGTATGCGTCCTTCCAAAAACATTCAAGAGGATGGATTCAAGCTCGCAAGGAAGAGAAGGCCAGTGACTGTGGACACGTCCAAAGCCAAAACCTCGCTGGAAGCCCTGAAGTTGAGCATCAGGCAGCTGAAGTGGAAAGAGGTGTGCTACATGTCTTTATTTCTAATGATTTTGCTATTGATATTCACCCATGTGCTTTGCAGGTCTCATTCCTATGAAACACTAAGGTACTGGTTAGAGCTGCAACGATTTGACAGAAAAGTTATCCTCTATTGATATTCATTATGATTTAAGTAATTTTCATGCATACATAGCAGGACATGCAGCTTTCAGCCTCTTAAAAATGGAGATCTCCTGCTATAAATTAAATGTTTGCATATAAACATACTTCTTTCTGTCCATCAACTACTTAACAGTTAGTCAACTAATCTATCATCCTTTTCTTTTGATATGTATTACTGAATGTGATGCAATTAATACCAGCTATCATTATTAACATGGTCTCCATTATGCATGAGAAGTAAAGAAGGGCAACACGATGACATTGGTGAAGTAAAGTCTCTACTTGTCACCGGTGACCACGCAGTGACACTTAACCCCTTGCAGGTCTGGTATTGGAAACAGTAGACAGAAGGCCTATACATTACCACGCTTTGTCCTCACCGTGCACCCCCGACAAAGTCAAGGGCGCTATAGTTCCTGACATTTTGAAAGTACCTGTCAACATCTTTGAAGGGTCCGTTGAAACGCGAGTAGCTTGTTTGTTAATTATGAGATGAATATGCATCACTTGAACAACGTTAGCGATTTGTAATATGAAGAACTTAAAAGGGTAGTTTGGATGTTTTAAGGTGGTGTTGGATGAGGTTTATACACGGACTATGGTTACCTGATAGAACCCTACTAAAAATACTTTACCATTTAATGACCATTTACATCCAAATAAGTTCTTCTCTACATCTGCAGTTGTTTTGGCCTGAGAAGGACAGCTGTCAACTGACTTTCAGCATATGGCCTGCTCTCACACAGTGGGAAATGATTAGCTGTAAGCACCTCTAATCCAATAACACCTCTAGTCCTCTTTTAGGCAGAGAGGTTGGCAAGCCTGAGGGTGTAGATGACAACTTCAAGAGATGAGACTAATAACCGTGCATCGAGGGATGAACTTTTTTATTAGGATTCTACAGACATAGCTGACATTTTAAATGGTCTGCCACCTAGGCAGCCTTGGAGCACCTTTGGAAAATAATAACTTGTATAACTGAACATTTTAGATGCTTTTTACATAACAGATGTTCTACAACTTTAAATATCGAATGATTCTAATTAAAGCGACTATTAATCATCACACACAGCGCACACTGAAATGTAGACTCTAGGAACTGGCCCCTCTCCAGGCACCATTCAGCACTCAGTCCAGTCTGCTTCCTGAACCAAGTCCCTACGGACTCAACTACCTTTCTCTGCCGGCCTATATATGGTTGTCGAATACAATGGGCCTCGTTTTATTATACCCTCATAGGCTTTTCTTTTGTTCTTGTGAAAGATCCAAAGAAAAATCTGCATTGCACTCATATGTTCTCAATTTTGTAGAATTGTTCGTACCTGTTTACCTAATATGAAGATAAATCCCTTTGTCCTTGTAAATTGAGAGCACATGCCAGTGGAAAATTGGTAAATGTTGTGCAAATGGCCATTTAAGAACATGAGACTGCAGTGCCGTGCATACAGAAAGTTAAAAAGGAAAAGTTTCAAGAAATAAGTAAAGAATGTTCAAGCGATTTGAAAGAGTGTGGAGCATCAAAGTCATAACATTTTTTTTTTTCAATATTTAGTAGTATTAGTAAGATTCCTGGGATGCTTATTCAATGTTGATTTGGTACTTGCAGTAGAACAAATCCTGAAAAAGTAAACATTGAATGCCAAAAAGACATTCAGAAAACTGGAAAAAAAAGGTGCATTTTAAGAAGAAGAACATTTGATGAACGAGGCCCAATGTCCTTATGCTTGGTTTCAGATATCAAAGTTTCTTCATTCATAAAGTAGCTTAAAAACACAAACTTAGCACACACATGATTTATTCCACAACACGGGAAGACCATGTTTCTATGTCTCCATTTGTGAAAAAGATGGCTATTTTTTGTTCTCGGATTTAGAAAATCATCTCAATTTAATTGACGTGCTGCTCTGATGGGATCAGACTGGCAGAGGTGTGGCAGTATTTATAGCAGCTCTTGGCTGTGGAGCAGGTTTCCCTGTTTCACACGCTATGATGCTAACTCATTAATGAGATGCTCTGTCACAGATCTGACTCGTAGCTGCAGTGGCTCGGGTCTTATGAGAACAGCTTTAAGAAGTGGTCAGGATTTCCTCCTGACCTTAATACATCTTGATGTAGAGCCCTGATGTAATGCAGTTAAAGATGGCCTCCATGACTAAAGGATTCGCAGCTCAACGATGATGTCTTGATGCTCAGATGTGGGCTGTGTCATGTTTTAATATATTAATGAGGAAGTGGAAATCAGGGAGGACATCTTTAAAATAAATTATTCAGATATGTTTCAGAAGATTTTCAGGATGAAGACCTTCCCCCATGGACTGTAAACATAGTATAAAAGACAGTAAAAAAACATTTATTGATTTAACGTTTTACTGTCCTTGTTACAACTCTTGGTTATGATTTTAGCAGTGCCCTTAATTATTACATTACTTTACATTTTATTTACTGGATATTTGTATCCAAAGCAACTTTAAATATTTTGGATATGTTGGTTCTGTTGGTAGTTTTCTCTAGTTGCATGCAATCAGAAGAGAGAAAGCTTCCTGAACAGTGCTGCAGGGTTGATGGTTTTTTGTAGGCCAACCCGCAAGTTAGCATCGCTCTGGTTCCCCTGACATAAAAACAATGGGAGTTTTCCATTGGATTATGGATTATTGGAGACTCTCTCTGGCATACTTTACGTCATGGTGCTATGGGAATTGGACACAAAGTCAGAGTGTGTGACAGAGGAAATGTGCTGCATATCACATGAGTCTGGGGTCGCTTGGTCACAACAGAGGCCAGCAGGCTGAACAATACAGGATGCCGGGCACCCTTACTACAATATATAGTATTATATTTACAAAGATGTCACCTGCTGCCTTCATTTTGTGTTTTTCTTTACATAAATGGGAACATTTCCAACATAAAGTAGTGCATAAAAATGCACCATAATGCAGGAAATGAAGTGTTTAATGCTAAAAGTTTCCTCCCCCTGCTCCCTATACATCCCCCTATGTTGAAATAATAAATAATTCAATTCAAGAGGAGCAGCACAGCTGTGCCTCCCTGCGTGTTACAAGCAGATTGTACATGTGAGGTCGTTGTTAACCCCCCTATGCAGGAAAATACAGCCTCGCTAACTTTAGTTGAGCTTTTTTAGTCAATGATGCTTTCTACTGGCTCAAGATAGCATGTGACCACAACTCATTTAAAAACACTGGGTGCTATTTCTTAGTGACACACACTAAAGCAGTGACTTTAATTTCATGGTAGCAGCACATGTGTTGGATAGTAAATGGTTTGGAGTGTGTGGATGTGTGCTGGAGTAGAGGTGTGTTAAAGACAAAAGCGGTGCCGTGTGCCAGGGGGATCGCCTGGATCTCTAAATACCTCTCGTTTCCCAGCTCATCACAACAGAACACGCACTGCCTCCCATCTTACGGCAAGATTACCCCTGCATTCTGCATGACTCCATAAGGACAAACACCCACTAATGTCTAATGTCCTGAGTCATATTAAGATTACGATTCTCAATCATTTACTGATGCGAAAAAAGTGTGATTTTTAAAAGAAAAATGATAATATTCTAACTTGCATGAATCAATTAACCTTCACCTTTTTACTTTTTTCTTTTATATTATTTTTTAAATAACACACTCTTTTAACATATTTAATAGTATTATTGCTATCTCTTGTATTTTTTACTTTTTAATATACAATTTACTATCTCTCCATGAACAGTGATATTTACCTATGTACAACCTGATATAGGCATTGAAATGTAAAACTTGATTTCTGATCCTTTTTATGTCCTAAAAAATGTCAATAAACAAAAATGTGAGAGAGAAGTAAATGTTTATCCTCCAAATCATTATTTGTAACCATCTTCATTCCCCATGTTTCTGTTTTCTCTCCCTCTGCAGTTTCCTCTGGGGAGACGAGCGCCCTGTGATATCTACTGGCATGGCGTCTCCTTCCATGATAATGAAAATATTGTCTCCGGGCAGGTGAACAAGTTCCCAGGTATTTCACAGCTTCTCTAACCTCCTCTAGATGTAGAGCACCTAAAATCAAAGAGATGGATGTATTTCAGGCCGCAGTGCTTCATGTGTGCTCAGTATTGAGTGATCACAACAGCAGGGATTTAGTTAAACCCTGACTGATCCTCATAGAGCCAATGCTAACCTTTTCATGCCATGGCAATAATAATTACTTTAGAGACTCAGAGATCATTGTATTAGTGAGAAATGTACATCAAAATCGACATCAATAGAGTCTCCAGGTTACTATGTATCTTCAATATATGATGGTTATGTTGTGGCTGCATGATTTGGTCTAAAATGCTAATCACGCTTATTTATTCGAGAATTTATAAATGTTAGCGCATGAGACTGAAGTTCCCACAGGGGTCAAAATAATGCGCTGTGATGTGCAGTCGACACGTTGGATGCGATCCGAATGATCTAACGCAGCCCCTCGTCCTCCACAATGTTAAGCTGTAGCCACCCAGTTAGCTATCGCTGTTGTTGTCCAGGCGTCTCCCCGGCAAACTTTCAAGCGTGGTCTGCCGCAAGCGAGCGGCAGGAGCGGGGCTGTCAGCATCAGCTGTGTGCTTGGCTTGCTGTTGAAAACACCTTTTTTTTAATCCATATCTCTCGCTAGAATCTCCCACCATCCAACTAACAACAACAACGTCAAGCCTTTGGGCTCTGAAACTACGGGGCAGGCCGAGGACAAATACACATGCGTTAATCGCACGTTAAAATAGTTAGTGGCATTAATTTTTGTCTGCGTTAACTTGACTGCCCTAATTTTGATGTTACATGTCAGACTCTTGCATTTATCATATACCTTCTTTTTTTTTTTGTCACAGGAATGATTGAAATGCTGAGGAAGATCAACCTGAGTCGGGCGGTGCGGACCATGCAGGAGTTGTTCCCGGAGGAGTACGACTTCTATCCCCGCTCCTGGATCCTGCCTGAGGAGTGCCAGCAGTTCTCCACACAGGTATACTTCATATCATGATCCTGGACATGATACGACGAGATGAGTTGACCTATCATGCAAAATGCACTTTTTTATGTCTTTTATTCATAAATATGTGTCCCTGGTGTGTCAGGGAACTACGGAGCCCTGGAGGGTTCATAGAGAGAAACAAAAATAAAATTAGGCCAAGTTTTATTAATTTGTGCGCACAAGATGTAATTCGTGGCCTCAATTTAAATAAAACGAGTCCACGCTTTATTAATTAGTGCGCTAAATTAATTATACTTTTTCGTGCACACGAGATACTTTCTTATGGTTAGACACATCGAACTGCCCGATTATTACGGTGTGTGTGTGTGTGTGTGTGTGTGTGTGTGTGTGTGTGTGTGTGTGTGTGTGTGTGTGTGTGTGTGTGTGTGTGTGTGTGTGTGTGTGTGTGTGTGTGTGTGTGTGTGTGTGTGTGTGTGTGTGTGTGTGTGTGTGTGTGTGTGTGTGTGTGTGTGTGTGTGTGTGTGTGTGTGTGTGTGTGTGTGTGTGTGTGTGTGTGTGTGTGTGTGTGTGTGTGTGTGTGTGGTGTGTGTGTGTGTGTGTGTGTGTGTGGTGTGTGTGTGTGTGTGTGTGTGTGTGTGTGTGTGTGTGTGTGTGTGTGTGTGTGTGTGTGTGTGTGTGTGTGTGTGTGTGTGTGTGTGTGTGTGTGTGTGTGTGTGTGTGTGTGTGTGTGTGTGTGTGGTGTGTGTGTGTGTGTGTGTGTGTGTGTGTGTGTGTGTGTGTGTGTGTGTGTGTGTGTGTGTGTGTGTGTGTGTGTGTGTGTGTGTGTGTGTGTGTGTGTGACACGTAGCAGCCTCGATCTCTATTCAGCTGTTCTGAAGGTAAACACAGTGAAGGCGCTGCGTAAAAGACACAGCTCTCTGCGCGCAGATAGCAGATACTGTGAGAGTCACGCACATGAATTCATAGATCAAGGCAGACTGGTTCACAGACTCTCCTGTTTTGCTAATCCGGTGCTTAAACAAATAGCTCTACACCTCTGGCCGAAATGTCCCTAAAATGAAGTCTAAGGTATGCACTGCCATTTCCCCACATAAACATAACAGTCTGCAATGAAACGGTTGTCTCCTGTGCGCTCCACTTCCTACTTGGCGCACCGGTAACTTTCTCGTGCGAACGAGAAAGTATCTCGTGCGCACGAGAAAGAATTAATAAAGCGTGGCCTCGTTTTATTTAAATTGAGGCCACGAATTACATCTCGTGGGCACGAATAAATAAAACGTGGACTCGTTTTATTTATTTTTCTCTCTATGAACCCTCCAGGGCTCCGTAGGGAACTCGCGCAGTGTCAGAAAATAAAACCCTCTCTCTTTTCCTCCGTACCCAAATCTCTAAAAACGGGGGTACAACGAGCTGATCCAGATCAGCCCTATCAGAAACGTTGCTCTCAGAAACGACGACGACTGTTTTGAACGTAATATGGTCTTTGTTTACATTAGCAACCATTGCTAACACTCGGAGCTAACCTGTACTGGAGAAAGTATGTGTAAAAAAGTAGGACATCAAAAAAGGAACTCACCTTGTGGTATAACCGGCAAGAGAAAAAGCATTTGAGCTCCATACTGTTTCAGAAATAATTCTTGATGTGGTTTGGAACATGATATGGCATTTCATCACGGCAGTGTTTCCCTGTATCCCGTAGAATTCTGAGCAGGCATTAGCTCTCCCTTTCTTTTCTTTTTTTTCCAAGCTAAGGTCCCTGAACCTGCAGTTCTCTAACAGGGCTGAAACAGAGGGATATGAGGGATTAGGTATTTTGAGCAAAACACATCATAGACATGTTTTTTATATATTTGTATATATCTGAGACCCATAATATATGCCTAAAAATAGCATAATAGGAGACCTTTAAATTGCATGCACAGATGGTCAAAAATTCAGAGTAAAAAATGACATATCGCATTGCAAACTGGTAGTAATATTATAATATGTCCAGCAGGGGGCACCAGAATATCACAGTTTGCATTCCAAATGTTTGCAGCAGACAAGACTGAAGGACAAAAAAGACCCAAACCTCCTTCAAAATGTTTTGTATGTCACACTGTCAACATTTACTCAAGACACATTTATTTACAGCACATTTCAGCACTGTTGCAGTTCAAAATGCTTTACATAAGACATGAATAGCATTGAAATAAATGATCATAAACATAACTACTTTTAATTACAATTTAAATCGGTCATTAAAGAGCTAAACAAAATAGAATATTCAAAGAAGCTGAAATGTAATAAGAAATGAATAAAATGCAGCTCCAAAAGTTACAGTGCAAGGCCTAATAATTATTTGATTTAATAAAATATCTGGCATAAGATATTAAGGACCTATGATGGATTGATAACACATTTTATAAACCACCATAAAACTTTTCTCACTCAATCTCTGGGATCTTTGTTTTAGATTTTGCAACGGCTTGTGAAAATGTGTGATTCAAGTCTTACCAGAAACTGTCTTTGAGGTTCTTGTTAAACGTATCCTCACCCACCCCCACCTCTGCTTTAGATCCGCATGGTGAAGGAGAACGATGCCTCGGTGAACCCCACCTTCATTGTGAAGCCTGATGGGGGCTCTCAGGGCGACGGCATCTACCTCATCCGTGACCCCAGTGACCTGAAGCTCATGGTGGGTTCACAGGCCAAACAGGCTGTGGTCCAGGAGTACATCCAGAGGCCGCTGCTCATTGACAAGCTCAAGTTCGATATCCGCCTGTACGTGCTGCTGAAGTCCCTGGAGCCGCTGGAGATCTACATTGCCAAGGAAGGCCTGACACGATTCTGCACCGAGCCGTACCAGGTAGCCATGACGGAGCTGTGGAGGTCCACAGGTTCACTCTGAAGCTGTTCATTTGCTTCGATGACATGAAACACGTACTTCCACTTTTATAGCATGTCACTAAAATGGAAGGAGTTTTTCTGACCGATTTGAGTTTTTAACCAATAGAGCAAAAAATACACAATCTTAAATACAGTAATTATAAATGGTAAGGTAATTATTTTGGGGGTCATGGGATGCACAAAATTTCATTTTTGATTGTTTTTTTCCACCTAATTGTAGAGAACATCAAGTCTCTCCTGAAGTGGAATTAACATATTATTGTTCCTACATTTATTGTAAGATGCAGAAGAAAATATGTATTTTTCAAAATGCACATATTCACTGGGCAAAATAAAATAAAATGCTTTAACTACATGTAAAACAGGAAATATATTTTATATATAAAATACTATTTTTAAAGCCTCTTTTTGCCTTATCATCTTGCGTCTCTGTGAGTCTGTTCTTTCTTACATTATAATTTTCCGTTTTATTTTCAATCAGGATCTATGTTGAACTTATCTACCATAATAGTGAGCTAGGCTTTTCAAGTTGCTCATGTGAGAATATTCACAATTATCAAGATAATGGAAATTGCCCATGGTCAACCTATTGAGTGTTTTCCATTGTAAATCTTTTTTAAAGTGAAGTTGTCTGGATGAGCAGTTCTCGAAAAAGCTGCGAGCAGCATTACCTGAGGAAGAGCAATCGGCTCTATCTGAAAAGGAACTTTTTGAACAGCACTGCAGTTGTACATATAATGAATGCAACTCTTATTCTGATTTTGTAGGAACCAAGCCAGAAGAATCTGAGCCATGTCTTCATGCACCTGACAAACTACTCGCTGAACGTCCACAGTGGAAACTTTGTCCACTCCAGCAGCCAGAGCACAGGCAGCAAGCGCTCGCTCTCCAGCGTGCTGTACAGGCTGGCAGCTAAAGGCGTGGACATCAAGAAGGTGTGGTCCGACATCATCGCCCTCGTCATCAAGACCACCATCGCCGTGGTGCCTGAACTTAGAGTCTACTATCAGGCTGAAATACCTCCTGGCAAACCGGGACCCACATGCTTTCAGGTGGGTGAAACAGAAACAGTGTAACAAATGTAAATACTCAAGTTAATACAAAATATGCATACATTTGTTTAAAAACGGAATAGTTTCAGAACTTCTTTCATCAGATCAGAATTCCACTAATCTCATTTAATTTTGCCCATTAAGATCCAGACTATTAACAGTTATACAGCTTGAAACTATACACACACACACACACATCCATATATTTCTAACAACTTCTATTGGAGGCATGACCACTTTCTTCGTAAATCTGATTAAAACATAAAAAGATAAAGATAGTGGCTTTTGTTCACCTCTAGTATACAATCTTCTTTCTCTAACATATGAATAAAAAGAGATGTGTTTGTTTCTCAGATTTTAGGGTTTGACATCCTGCTGATGAAGAACCTGAAGCCAGTACTATTAGAGGTCAACTCCAACCCCAGTATGAGAATAGAACATGAGCAGGAGGTAAGAGTGAAGGTCATCTTCAGTATTTGTCATAGTTTTGTGATATTTTTGTATTCCCTTTGCTGTGATAAATCTTTGTGTTGGTCTCAGATGGCACCAGGAGTTTTTGAATATGTTCCCAGTCCGGTCGACGAAGAGGTCAAAGTGGGGGTGATCAGGGACACACTGCGCCTTATGGACCCCGGCCACAAGAGAACTTCAATGTAAATACACACACACGCACACACCAGCATCAGCTCCTTCACATGGGACTGATCACACACCTGCCATACTGACGAGAGGCGTAAACAAATGACTTGTGCTTATACACACACACACACACACTTTCAGGACACTGGAGTTACTGGTCTAGCGCTGCCTTGATAGGTTGGTTTGTGTATGTGCCTTTGGTGCTTTCTAGGGTTAGTTTGTATCATAGATTGTATATTTTTACATTACATGTTACTTGTTAGATGCTTTTATCCAAAGCGACTTACATACTCAATACTGTCTCAATAGTCCGGCAGTGGCTCAGTCAGTAGGGGCTTGGACTGTGAGCCGTAGGGTCGCCGGTTCAAGTCCCCGACCAGACCTAAAATATGGAGTGTGGACTTCTACTTGGAGAGGTCCCAGTTCACTTCCTGCCCTGCCGTGGTGCCCTTGAGCAAGGCACCGGACATCCCCCTTCCCCCCCTCACTCCCATTGCTCCCCGGGCGCTGTACAATAGCTGCCCACTGCTCCTAGTACTAGACTCCTGGTACTAGGATGGGTTAAAAGCAGAGAACAAATTTCACTGTGTGTGTGCTGTGTGCTCTGCATTTGTGACCATTAAAGAGGGTTTCATCCCTCCCAATTCTATTCTATTCTACTGTGGACAATCCCCAAAGGAGCAATTTGGGGTGAAGTGTCTCAGGGACACAACGACATGCTGACTGCAGTGGGGTTTGAACCTGTGCTCCCCTGATCCAAACACACTAGTTCACTGCGCCACCAACGCAGTGCCAGTACTCCTGTTTGTTTCTCCAAGTTGAAGCCTTTCTGACCGTCATCTGTAATACTCTGACCATGCAAGAGTACCTCATTTAACCCCCTTCAAAAAATCCTCTAAAAGAGTCCATTTTGAAGGATGTGTTACCTTACGCTACCCTTCCCTTCTCAGAGCTCTGCACCGCTCGCTCCATAAGCCTGTTAAATGGAAAAATGTGATTCAGCTGAGTCGAGGTGGAGATTCACACACAACTGTACGAGTGTGATGGCTCAATCTGCGTCCGACCAGCCCTGTGTGCTGCCTGGCAATAAACCTCCTCCACCATTTTATTTTTGTACCCCCTTTAATCAGTTTTTCTTCAATGACAAGAGGATTTACTGTTTTCTATTCCACCACCATCTCCATTTATTTCCTCTCTCTCCATTTCTTGCCTCCTCCGCAGATTATGTTCCATATCAGATATTTGATCTGCTTTGTTCTGCCAGCGACGGGGATATCTTCTCGGGGATAATACCCACTTAGCTATTACATTCATGATGATGAGTAACGCATCGATATAATGCGACTATAATACGTTTAATCCTCATGCCTCCCGCATTGCTATATTTTCATCCAGCTAGAATCAGCAGAATCACATCTTGTGTATGAATGACTTACACTCCAGCACAATGTCAAATACATGATTGGAATTCTGTTCATTTCAACTAATTCCAATCTACGTACTTATACAGACTCCTAATCCTTTCATCCAATGCCACTTACATTTTTTATATTGATTTTGACCTCATATTTCCTATAAATATTGCAAGACATTTATTAAAAACACATCTTTCAAATATCTATGTTTGTATCAGCCACAACATTTCAGTTTTGGTTGAGCTAACATGTTTCTCACAGCCCCATTTTCATCCTGTTTCCTTGTGACTAATATGAATAATATTTGTTGTATTGTGAAAATGTGGCTTTTAGCCTATGATTTTCTAAATCATCTGGCTCATTTCACTGTTTGTACATACCTCCACGAAGGTCATAATCTCTCGACATCGTTACTGGAGGTTAAGCAATGTGTTAACAGCACAGATGGTGCAGCCACACGTAAACACACGTGTGTTGTGGTCTCTGACAGCTGTTGTGCAGCGGGATTTATGGGATTCAGTCGCTCAGAACGCAGGGTTTAGACTGAAGTCACCCACGTATGAATTTGACTTGTCAAGATGAAGTGGAAGAGAGGTGAGAACTGACCAGGCACACAATACAGAGATACAGTTGAGGAAAAACTGTTTTTCTTATAAAGAAGACTGAGTGAGACGTTATATAAAACAGATAAATACAAATAAAGTGGCAAACAAAAGGGGGAAAAGTGTCATTTTGGAGAAAAGGGGGTAGAGGTTTAATGGGGATGTATTCTGTGATGGTATCAGTGACTCTCACACAAAGCTCATTCATCCTGTGTATGATGTCTGAGGGTGATTTATGAGTCATTATGAGAGATGTGTGGGTGGGAACAAACAACACATTTGTTAAAATAGTGTGCAAGGGACACGATAACTAAGGCATCATCTGCATAAAGAGAAATAATAGGTTATACAATTATACATGATATGGTAGGTAAGGGTAACTGAGGTGAGTTTATTTCACAGTGGAATATTTGAATACATACACGTAACCCCTTCATCTAAAAGCTGCATTACTAGGTTTTGTGGGGCCACTTGGGGGCAGCAGAAACAAGATGTGAACAAATGTCCACACCTTGCAACTCTGTGTCAACAAATAGTTGCTTATTAACACATACTGCCATTACAGAGCGTCATTAGCATAACATAACACCAACTCATGTGTTGACTTATGCTTCTGCTTCAAATCATGTCGATCTTCTTTTAATAATATACATTTAATAATTGAACATGTGCACTTGTCCATGACATTGCTTGTGTTTTTTGAATTCCCTCATGTTGAAAATAACTTGAATGATACAGTGTATATATATATATATATATATCATTTTACAGTCTGGAGGTGTGCTTCTGAAACAGCGCTCACAGACTGGGACATTAAAGCCCAAATAGGTTACACACTATCAGATTGAAATACCTTTCCTGAGGTCAGCCAGGACCTTTAGCTTGACTTTTCTTTTCTCATTTCTCTCTGCCATTGTTCTGCCAACTGTGCTCTTGGCATGAAGGCAACATTTGGCCATTATTGCCAAAGGGATAAGTGCAATCCGATGCAAAAACGTTATGGTTGTGTTTGGGCTGCATTATAATTAGCTCAATATCTTTTAGGAATCAGACCTTGAGATGGGGCAGATAGCGGTTGCAAAAATAATAATTTCATGGTGATTTTATCAGGGGGCTGCGATCTACTATTTGTGAATGTGTCCATGAGAGGGGAGTGAACCAAAAGAGCTGATGAGCTGCAACCTGTGTTAAAGCTCCAAAAAGCCGAGGGGAGCTGCAGATTAGGGAGATGTCCCATTTGAACACTTTCATGTGACTCATAGATATAGTACATTGTTAATGTTATACTTCTTGATGTGTTATATTTCTGTGATTCTTGTAGTTGTGGTGATACTGTAGGGACAAGTGAAAAAAGTTAATATTTTAAATCACACACACACCTGATTTACACGCATGTGGGAGGCTAATTAGTTCTGTTTGTGTTTTGGTGTGACTCGGCCAATACATCCTGAATTCTACATTTGAAGACTTTCGACAGTCAGCTTTGATGATTCATTCACCAGGAGGCCGGAACAACCATAATTGCCGTGTAATGACAGCTAAATTAGTCCTAGCACTCGGCTAACATTTAGCACCAGGCGTCTGTAAGTCTTTTTAATATCCTGCCAACTTTTGCTTTCTGGCCTAGCCTCCATCTTTTTCTCCCCTCCCTCTGCTGGCACCTTCCCCTCTCTGTCTGTCTGTCAGCTTCTGGTGAAGATGTGTCTGTTTTTAGCCCAGCCGTCCTGTCTAAATACATGTGGGTGGTGTCCTTCTGGCTGCTGAAGGATGATTGATTCTATTAAACATGCAGCAGTGCTCTCTGTGTGCCATTCACACTGCTTACTAATTCATGGAGAAAGACACTGTCTCATAAAAGTCAGCAGCACTGAATCCCCTTGACGTTTGTATCCCCTTTGCCTTTCCTTCGTTACTTGTGTTGACCATTGGAGTTTATTTAAGGCGCTGCACCCCCACACAGGTGTTGTCACTGACTCTCACTAATGAGACCTCTGCTCAGGTTGCTATGATATGATGGCATTTACTCAAAGTCACTGCACAATGCACTTAAACAAAGGATGAGGCCTAATTGATACTGGCCTACAGTTACAAGTTCTGCAAAGCCAACAGGAGAGAGCGGGAGATGTCTGTTAAGCACAGAGTCTACACTCCCACACATTCCTGAGGGTGAGGATGTGCAGAAACGCCTGACTCATCTTCATGTTCTGTGAGAAGGAGGCAATCCCTGGGTGGAAGCACAATGGGAGAGCTGGCAGCGAGATGCAGGCAGGCGGTGCAGAGCGCATCGTTCAGATGAATGCATTGTGACCTTAAAGAAGTGGAAATGAGTGGGACTGTGACCAATCAGACTTGATGCTCATCACATGTTTATTGTGAATTAGACGTTTTCAATATAAATTCATTACTTAGGTTTCGTTCCATACTTTACCTCAGGGTGTCCGCGGGGTCTTCAAAAGTATTAAAAGTTGATAAATAAATGTAGCGAAAATGTAGGCTATTAAAAAGTATTAAAAAGTATTAAATGGCATTTTCCAAGGTATTACATTTTGTAGCTTGTTTTCAATAAGTATATAAATTGTCCAAAGAGGTTGTATTCTACAGTCTGCCTGAATGTAATCATTGCGTAGGTGTGTAGTGTGATTCTGTGTAGTTTATTTATGGCATCCCGTTGGATTTGACGTCATCTGAACAGGACATCGCACGCTCACTGCTTGATAGCGCGTGAAGTTCCGTTTACGCCGGTTGTTAAACCACATGGTTATGGGGAAATGCAAGTTTGCGTCCAAATGGTTGGAAGATAAAGTGTGTCGCCAATGTAACCGGTTAGAACTCCAAGTGGCGATGAGGTCTTAAAATGTATGGAAAGGGTTAGGGCTGTGCGATTATGGCAAAAATCATAATCACGATTATTTTGGTCAATAATTGACATCACGATTATTAAATATGATTATTCATTGACTTTGAAAACATCAATTTATTGAACTTTAAAACAAAATACAAATAATAATTTGAACAGTATCTTTTAACTGTTGATTACCCTGAACGTATAATTCAACTGAAAAACCAATAAATAAAATAAATTATACATTTATATTTACATTTAAATCAATAATATCAAAATAATAAATACCAATAAACAAGATCAACAAATATTTTGGAGCGCACTTCAACAAGCTAATAAACATATATAAATATGATAAATACAAATAAATGAGATCAAATATGTTGCAGTGCACTGTCACAACCTACAGTAGCAAAGCAAAATAATCGTTTTTTCCGATTATGTTGTTTTCGTAATTGTGGCAGGCCAAAATCGTAATTGCGATTAAAATACGATTAATTGCACAGCCCTAGAAAGGGTCTTACAAAAGGTCTTAAACGGTCTTACATGTGACTTCAGGATTCCTGCATACACCCTGTACTGTGGGGAAGTTTGGGGAAATGCATGCGAAACCATGACTAATGCTATATTACAGAGAAAAGCTATAAGTGAACAGAGCTGTCTGTCATAAACCAACCAACGTATTATATTACTATAAATGATTCTAAAACTGCACGTTGAATGTATAAAGTAAAGAAGTAGGGTGCGTTCAGAAGTGTTTTTCAAAATGAGAATATGAACAAAAAAAAATTAAGATTAAAACAAATGCAAAACAAAGATGTTAATGGCTAAATAAGATGCTTAAACATATATTTTACTCTATTATTGAATAATGTGTTTATAACTTTTTTTTTTGTGACCTTTTGGCTAAATATAAAACATACATTTATTTTGTTTCAGGACTTTTTCTTAACTGAGCCCGATACCTCCACAGCATATCAGCATTTAACTTTTAACAATCAAGTTTTTAATGAACATTTATTCAACACTTTTTTAAGGTCTTGGCAATACACATAATGCCTTTAGAGAGAGAGACACTTTCAAGCAGGACTTTGTTTCAAGAGAAACTCCTCAGGGTTCCCTTTTCACTAGGGATTGTGAATGCATCTATCTCATAAAACATTTTCAAAACTTTTCTTTCAATATTTTAAGACCAGATTTGACTTCCTCATTTGCATGGAAAGCCATCTCTTGTGACAGTGATGCTGAATATACAAACGGACAGAAGTGCTTTTATATTCTGCCTCATCAGCATTCATAGCATCTATCATCAATAATGAACCTCTAAAAGCTAAATGTGCAATGTCATTATTAATATTGCTCTTTTTTTTCATGCTCAGGCTGTTTGTTGACTTATGTCTTATATAGAATATATAATAGAATAAAAGCTCTGTGGAGATCCTCTGTAGCTTCTCCAGAGGCTCTCCTGGCTGTGACGTTTTTCACGAGTCAGACTGCTACTCCCATCAGAAGTACTCTTCCTTTTTTACTTAACTAAGTCTCCAAACTTTGTGAGGAGTATTAACTTTCTCTTTATAAGCATTCAAAACACATCTTCATTCTACATGCAAAATGTATCGCGTGTAGATGTATCTACTGTTGCATTACATGTTGTGAATGTGAGCACAGGCAGTGAAAAGGCAGTGAGATGAGGGACATTATTCTCCCCTTTCCCCCGCCAATCCAGGCTAAGTGCAGACTCAAAAGGAAATCTCTGTGCTTTACGTCCGCCCTCAGGTGACCTGGAACTCCGGGTCGCTTTTTGTTCTCCAGCTTCTTTCCTGCAGGGCCTGAGCAGTAAAGTAGGGACTTTAGTTGTCCTTAAATCCACATGCTCGCTTCTGTTTTCAATACATTTATAATATAATATGTTTTTCTTTTCATTTCCCTCCTACCATTTGGTTGCCATAGTTCCAACCTGAGGGCGGGTGGGCTGGACCACGGGGAGGAGATCCCCATGGAGGCGGAGCCACAGGACAGGAGCCCCGATGAAGGAGCTCTGCCCTCTCTGTGTCTGAAGCAGGTCTACCCCAAATACACCAAACAGTTCAACTACCTGCGGCTGGTGGAGCGCATCGCCGCGCTCTTCATCCGCTTCCTGGGGGTCAAAGGCAACATGCGGCTGGGCCCCACCGCCTTCAGGACCTTCATCAGGTACACAGCTCATCCATTTATTCTATTGGGTCCCCGTTAGCTTCTGCCGTAGCGGTTACATGACTTCCTGATTGTCAATCAAGATCATTCATATTGGCAGCATAGCAGCAGTCAGACACTGTGAGTACGAATGCCCTGTCATCTGAGCTCCTTTTCTCATCGATCAATGATTTAGATTCAAATCATATTGTGTTCAGTGCGCAGTCCGTTATTTCAAATAAAGATGAATGGCATTATTTTTGTCTTTTACAACGTGTATAAATCATTTGTCCTGTGTTCTTCTTCAAGAAAAAGTTACAAATTGAATATATATGTAATGATATTATTTACTTAAAACAGTTCTATAGATCCATTCCTTGTTTTGGGTTGTACAAAACAATTATCACTGGTTTAAAAACATGTTGATTTTTATTTTGAAACTTTAATATGTATTGAGTTGTTGTCTTTGCATACAACTGTGTGATAAATGATACATTTCTTCCAAAAAAACATGTTCTCTCACTCTAAGATGATACATGACTTTATTCTTAGCAGTTATCTCTGTAAAATCATTTCTGTAGGGGATTCAGTTTCATACCAAGTTCTCGTTATTCTTGCTTGTGATCAATAATATCTTGGTTAAATATCTATCAATATAATTCATATAATCATATTTATTCCTAAGGTGTATCATTTTGCATTCCTTAGGTATTGCATAACCCCAAATAATAGTGTGATGTTTGCATCTGTAGTCCATCATCATGTGATTGTGATTGGTTTGAAATCCCTCCATGTCCTTGAACTGTTGACAATATGTTTGACTGCAAAGGGGATGAGTTACTAACGTCTCAGTTGGATTTGAAACGTGTAGACTGACATGTTTGATTTCACCATGTCTTCAGGACCTGCAAGCTGAGCAACAGTAACTTCTCCATGGCCTCAGTGGACATCCTGTACATAGACATCACACGCCGCTGGTCAGGGACAATGGCTGACTCTAGAGAAGCAGGTAACACACGCACACGCACAAAGGGACACTTAGACACGGGTGCAAAAACAACCTTTTCCCTCCAAAGGAACAACATGTAAAGGACAGAGAGCCCGATATCCTTGAGACTCGGAGCGAATAACGTGCTTGGAGATAATTGCTTGTCATTCTTTGTCAGATTCCCTCTGACACCGTGCGCTAGCGTAAATGAGCAGAGATCACAATGTGACAGCCAAGAGACTCTCCGACATGAATTATTCAGACGTTGCACCTTGCGAGGAATGTTTGCGAGGCGGAGCGGATGGATGGAGATCACATGGACAAGGATGGAAGGGTCTGTACGGAGGAGGTGGTGGGCTGAATTCAGAATGAGCTCATACGTATTCAGAGGGACTCGAGTTTCAGGCGCTGATATTTCTCTGGATGTGCTTTGGAGGATTTGTGGGGAAGCAATAAGAGGCAACACAATATGATGTTTTTCTATTTTGGGGATATGCAGCAAAGTTCTGAAAGGACACATGAAGGGATTTAGGGAAATGCTCGCTTCTTGGGATCTGTAGCAGTTTGGATTCACAGCAAAACACTCTCACCATGTCGCTCCTCTGTCATTTGGCATCTTTATTCATTATTCTCATATTCTTTTTTTATATATATTATTTATAAAAAATGTCTAGGTCTTCTTGATCGACAATAACAGAGGCTAAAGTACGGAATAATTATCAGAGCTTTGGCAATTGTTTAATGACAATTCAAAAGGTATTTTGCATATTTCTATGACGTTATTTTATTTGACATACTATGCCATGTTGTTTCAACATACTATGACTAGTTTTGTATTCTTTTGGATGATTCTTACCTTTGTGTTAACATACAGTTCATATCTACAGAAGCCATGAGAAAGAAATCTGGTCTTCTATTATATGATTGACAGGTGAAATGGACAGTTATGTAACATAACATTATACAGCATGAAGAAATGTCAACCTGAATGCTTTCACCCTAATTCGAACTAGGGATAGTGAGCCACTGTAGCCTCTTGTGGCCAACATGAGTATTACAACAACCAACATCTTGGACTTGCATGGAAATTGTCTCTGTTTGGACATTTGATAGAAGAAGTTTTCTCAGGGAACTTTTCATAATGAGCAAGTCTAGACATTATTTATTGACACACAGCAATTCCAACACTTGGTGACAGTAACATGGAATGAAAGCTCAGAAACCTCCAGCAGAACCAGGATCTGGGTTGCAACAATTTGGTTTAGCTCAACCACTAGAAACAAGGAACAAAGCTAGCTTCGTTCTGTCCATAGGAAAGACACTCGTCCTACACGCACCTCTGAAGCGCACACATAAACACGTGACATTTAGTTTGTTCATTCCATACAAAAGACACATTATTGGCTTTGTCATAACTGACTCTCCTCTGAACCTCACCGTGTGTTGCAGGTATGGGACTCCAAGCCTTTGTGGAGGCCTTCTTCTACCTGGCGGGTCGCAGGTTCAAGTCCCAGCCTCTGAGGGAGCAGGTAGCCTCGCTGCTGGAGCTGTGTGAGGCCCAGCTGGAGACCCCACCCCCGGGCGGAGAGGAGAGGCGCTCGGTGAGCTGCAGCAGGGCCGTGCCTCGCTCCATCAGGACTCAGACCCTCCCCCACCCCCAGCTCTCCTCCCCCGGACCCCTGCGCCGGGCCGCCAGCCAGGACTACCGGCTGCACCAGAGACTCAAGCCTCGCTCTCTAAGGGCCAACCTGGAGAACTGAGGGGGGGGGGGGCTCCAGCCGCTCCCAAACCCCGCCTGTAGCCCTCTCCTCAGGAGCTGCAACATTAGCAGCCCCTCCTCTCAGCTCCCACAAGCAGTGCATGATGGGAGCTGAGAGGAGGACCCCTGCTGGCTCACTTTGCGGGAGCACCGTTCTCAGCCTGATTGCTTTTTCTCCAGAGGGGGGAGGTCTGCATGGGGGGAGAGTTGGAGAGGAAATAGAACATGGAATTCCAGAAGGTTGTTGCATTCCCCCCCCCCCCCTGCTGAGATCATATATGAACAGCGTGGTCCGGTCAGGAGGGGCTGCGTTTACTAAATGTACCGATTCTACAGGGCAGCTATTTGCTTGCCTTCACCTCTCACTGAGACTAAGTTCACTTTGCTCCAGCTTCACTCTCCATGGCGATGCACGCTATGACTCCTCTTCAGCCCAGAAGATAACCCACACATCTATGCTCCGTACAGCCCAAGCCAATATTCACATTTTTGTATTTTTAAAAGAAGTTCATATGCAAACCTGAAGAAAGGCTAAGATGTATTTTAACATATTTAAAATCAAACCAAATCTAACATCACTATTATTAACTCCACTAACAGTTTGACACTTTAAATGTACTTTTGTTTTTTTAAGGACAAAAGTACATCAAAAAACTTCAGAAAACATACTTTTAACTTTTGCCTGAGAATTTAAATGAAATGCTTTGATGTAATCTGGCAAATCTTCTTCTCCTTCTCATTCTTCTCCTTCTCCTTCTCCTTCTCCTTCTCCTTCTTCTCCTTCAGAAAGCTAAAACCTTTCCCATGATTGGCTGATGATTGATCGTCCCCCGTACATCGTGCATCCTTAGTTTCACCCACAATAACTGGGTGTGAGGGAGTGTCCTTATATTCTTGAATTTGCACAACAACTCTATGACATTTGCACAGAGCTGGATGAGAGGGTGACCGAGCATTTGTGTGAGGACAATGTGTGTGTCAGAGTGTGTGTGTGTCAGAGTGTGTCAGTGTGTGTGTGTCAGAGTGTGTGTGTACTGTATTTATTTGTGTTTGGCTCGATGATGAAAGCTTCTTTCCAGCCGTGGCTCAGCTGTGCGTCACAGCTCCGTGAGCCCGTTAGTGATGAGTTAAGTGAATAAGTATTCAATGCCATCACTTATCCTCTGTTTCTGCAGCTATTCCAGTCAGGCAGCCTTCAGACCTCCAGTTTGTAGGATGCTCTCTCTGAAGGCACACAGTTGCTTTTGGGAATTGATTATTGCATGGCAGGAATTGCCACAATTAAACCAGATGCAATGTTTATGAATCAATCAGATAGCTTTTTGTAGTAAAACCTCATCCTGTGTATGAAACATCATGGCTGTTATTTTAAGTTATTTACACTACAGCGACTCACTGAACATTAATATTTGAATTGTACGTTTGTTTCTTTTACACTTATTTTATGACATGCATTTGTCACATGCAGACTGACAATGAAGTGTGACGTGTTGCACTAAAGAACAATCAAACTGTAGCAGATGCAGCAGGAACCTGTTTAACACAGTCTATCAGATGTGTTGAATGTTTCCACGATGCGTACTGTAGGACTAACATATTCTCTGCAGTATGTTTGTTTCTATGAAGTAGATATGAGGTTATTAACAGTGATTGATCATATGAATGAAATGTATTCATAGCACTGCAAAATAATAAAAGTAATTTTGCTCTTTGAACTGAAGGTGTGTATATATTTGTGAATATTTATTTTGAAAGAACTATGTTTAACTTGGGATTTTAATTATAAAAAAACAAAACACATCTCATTTAGTGTTCTTTATTCACCATCTATGTTGCTAACCATGTATCCTTTTTTTTCAACATACAAAACTATGACGTTTATTTGGACATACTATGACGTTTAAAACATTTCTTTCAACATACTATGTTACCTACCCATACCTATGACTTTTTTTCATGTTTTTTCATCACACTAAACTATGACATTTTAATAGAAAATTTGACATACAATGATGTTTAAAAAAACGTTTCGATATACTATGACATTATTTAGACATACTTTACTTTGCCGTTTAGAATTTTTTTTTTAGACATACTATAACCTTTTATTTCATTTTTTTTTATGAACTTTAAACAGTTTTTTACGACATACTATGACTTTTTTCACATTTTTCGACACACTGACATTTTTTGGACATACTATGTTGTTTAAAAAATACAATATTATGACTTTCTTTTCATATTTTCCGTCAAACTATACTATGACCTTTATTTCGTATTTTTCAACAATATAGTATGACTTTCTTTCACATATTTTGACATACTATACTAGGAAGTATCTTTCGTATTTTTCGACATGTTTTCTGACATACTATAATATGATTTTTTTTCCAAACATACTATGACGTTTTACATTTTTGTTCGACATACTATACAACGCTTTCTTCCAAATACTAAACTATGACCTTTTTTTTCAGGTTTTTTATGAACTATTATGTTTTTTTTCAACATACTATACCATGACTTTCTTTCATATTTTTTGATATACTATATGACGTATTTGGAAGACATGCTATAATATAATTATTTTCATGTTTTCCTTAATACAAAGGTGTTTTCAACACACTATACGACTTTTTTCAAATTTTCAGACAAACTGTATGATGAAGTTGCATTTGTTTTAAACATCATATTATGTCCAAATTAACGTCATAGTATAGTAAGTCGAATTTTTAATGAAAGAAACATGAAAAAAGTCATAGTATACGGTGAAACCTTTTTGCATAGTATAGTATGTCGAAAAATGTTTAAAACATCATAGTATGGATGTCCAAAAAATACGAAGAATATATAAAAAAAACGTCATAGTATGTCGACATTTTTTTTTAAACATAGTATGTCCAGATAAATGTCGTAGTAAAAGTCATAGTATGGTATGTCGGAAAAAAAACGTAATAGTTTATTGTTCAAAGAAATACATGAAAAAAGGTCATAGTATAGTATGTCTAAAACAAATGTCATATTATAGTATGTAGAATAGACGTTTTTTTTCAAAATACTATACTGTGACTTTTTCTTTCATGTTTTTTTATGAACTACAAACTATTGTTTTTTTTTCCAATTTTCCGACAAAATATACTATGACGTTTTTTTCTCCAAATACTATACTATGACTTTCTTTCATATTTCTATGATATTTTTTTAAGACAGTCTAATACATTTTTTCCATGTTTTAATATGAATTTCTTTTCAAACTAAAAAACTATGAAGTTTATAAAAATGTTTCGACATACTGGCCGTTTCTCAATGTCGAGTAAAGCTGCTGCAGAGCCACTATTTCAAGTATACTACGTCATCGAGTGGCGCCGAATGCTGGGCATTTAAACCATAGATATATATAAACACACATGTTTATATATATCTATGATTTAAACAGTCCTTCGGCGCCACTCGATGACGTAGTATACTTGAAATAGTGGCTCTGCAGCAGCTTTACTCGACATTGAGAAACGGCCACTATATACTATATTTTTTTGATATACTGTCGTTTCTTTTCTACATAGTATCCTATTACTCTCTTTTCATATTTTCCAACATACTATACTATGACAGTTTTCAATTATTTTTCAACAAACAATACTGTTACTTTTTTTTACATGTTTTCCGACATACTACTATGACCTTTTTTTTTCTGATTACTATACTATGATATTGCTTCAACATATACGCTATGTTTGAAAAAAAAGTTTGACAAACTATACTACGTTTTTATCCAAATACTATGACTTTTTGTTCACATTTTTCGCCATACGAAGTTCCCTTTTTTTTTTGGACATACTAAACTTTGATGATTAAAAAACACAGGACATTCTATATCATGCCTTATTTTACATATTTTAATTTTAGAAAAACTATAAATACTATAATATGACGCTTTTTTTTCATATTTTTGGACATACTATACCATGACATGTTTACTATATTAATGTGGTTCTCGTGTCACGTGTCCCATTAGACTGACACCTTAATGCCCAGAGAGATGGTTCCACTTGGCCAAAGGAACAAGTGTGACTCTCAGGGAGCAATTAGCCTCACAGGAGCTTTCCTTCTAATAAACCTGATAATGATCCGCTGTTAATGAGCTCCACACTCCCCATTCGAACATACTGTTTCATGATAAATACATGTCGCCTGGCTTTGAGCTATATTTAGAAACAAAGTGTGAGCATTTAAAAAAAAAAAAAACAGCTCATTCTGAACGAGACATTTTGCTAAAGAATTCCCCGTTACTTCCAGTCTTTCTGCTCCACTGTGGGGAATACCAATGAGGCGTTATGTAGGTCAGACTCTGAGGAGTGTCACATCGTACCCTTCACTCTGTCTCTGGACCTCTCGTCTGAGCATATGGTCTCTAGCTACTTGTCATCTATCTAGGCCTGCTTGAGTATTTAATGAGCATGTGATGCGTCTCACACACTCAAAATAATCTTCATTTACATTTCACGATAACAGAACAATGAGAGATAGACAAGAGGCAACAACATTTTTAAAATAGCTAAATAAAACTTTAATAGGTCTAGTTGCAAATGTACATAAATTGCACAGCCACATTTTGTCAACACAAATTCCTCTGTACATTATTGTTTTGTCACTGTCGTCAAAGGAAGCAGAATCCAGCAAATACTTTATACTTTCAACATACTTACAAAAGTATTTTCTACAAGATAATAGAAAACATACAACATCTTTTACTTTATTTATAGCTTTATATTTTTAATAGATCTTTTGTCGGACTGGATGAAATGTGTGACGAGAGCTACTAAAACCTGGAGGGGATAAAAGAACTGATTGATGAGAAGTGAAATAAAAAAAACAAAGCAGTACAATCAGTTAACTTGTATAGTTGTAAACTGAGATTTGAAGTAAGACTATGTCAAATGTGATAAACAACAGCCTCTGCGTAATGCTTAACTACTGTTATGCTAATCCTCTGATTTAGCTAAATGCTAAACCATAGTTAAAAAAAAATAGCTTGGCATTTAGCTAACATGCTCTTACAGAAACTGAATTTAATAACTGCCTTTTAAAGCAAAAATGACCTGACATTTGCTAATGTTGGCAACCAAAAGTGATTTGTCATAACAGACAAATAATTAGCATCACTCATTCCATGTGTTTAGCTAAGGTAAATGCTAAAAAGTAGTTAACAGTTTAGCATTTAGCTAAAATGCTAAGCATGGTAACAGTAGCATTAATAGCCATTAAGTCAGTGAACTGAAGAATGAATATGCCTTTTATAGCAAATGTATCTTGAATGATTTGTAATAAAGTATTATTTGTTTGTCAAAAGTAACATAGTCTTGCTTTAATCTCTGCAGTAAAAGATTAAGGACTGAATGTGAGGTACAATTTTTTTTGCGCTATGAGAATTCTTCAGTCGGATAGAAAGGTTTGTGAATGATCTATAGAAAAAATCCCTTTCTTAGGTTTTGAAATATGCCACTTTTAAAACAACTGAAATGGGTACTTTGCTTAAAAAACAAGAAGCTAAAAAGCTCAAATAAACACCAACCACCGAGGATAAAAGTGCATTGAGCTAGACTGATGAGAAATAACAGGATTGGGTGTTCCACTACTTCCCAAGAGTCTAACTGATACTTAATCCGTTTTTTTGGCTAGTGATATTACACTCTAAATACAAAAACAATAGCTCTAACAGGGAGTAAACACTGAAGGTTCATTTAAATTGTATAGTTCTACCCCATGAGGACAGATGACCGACTGAGCTATTTTGTATTTACAATATCCATAGATACAGCAGAGTTTGAGCACAAGATACATTTACAAAAAAGCTCTGTTAACATTAGGTAAAAATAGTGTGTGCATTTTATTTACACGTTCCCAGGCTGTCCAGCCTCACGATGCACTCGGTTATCATATATTTACTGTATATATGTCTGCAGCAAAGCATTCATCATTGTCGTCATCACCTTCGAATTGGCAACAAAAAAACAAAAACAAACGGTGAAGCTACCATTGGCTCGAGAGCGAGGTGAAGCATGCGGAGCCTCACACGTGATGTTTACAGTCTGTTACAGGTAAGAACTAATCAATACAAAAATATACAAAATACAGATGCTGATGCATGGGAGCAAATGCCAAGAGAGATAAAAGGACCAAACCCCATGTTAAGACCGTCTGTGAGTTAGCATCTTCACATTAGAAGAACAAGGGATGAAGAAGGGTGGAAGCGAGGAAGAACAAAAGAAGAAGCTAAATGATGTCACGAGGATTAATAATCACAGTTTGGATGCAGCATACGTCTTCACCACTGACAAATAAAAGCAGTTAGAGATCAAATGTTGAAACAAAGGAGGCCATTATGAGAACGGCTCACCAGTCCAGTGTATAGTGTGAGAGGGCAGGGTTTCCGTTATCGGGTTATTTAAACCTCTCCGGTCAATATATTAGGTGTGGCATCATTGAAGGGCAAATGTGCCACTGATTGTATCATTTCACTGGCTGGGGGGGGGGGGGGGGGGGGGGGGGGGGGGCATGTGAATCACAGGCAAAACAAGCCAGTGAGCTTTGGTTTGTTTGGGATTTCTTTCTTCCTTCTTTTTCACTGAGTTCCTCTTCTAGGGGTACGTACAAGTCTACAGGGTAAGCTATGTAAGGGATACAATTACTGAGCCAAATGGTACTGTTCAAATGAAGTCATCTCCCGTGGTAGTTTATTAAAAGAAATAGCCATTATATGATCCATTTCTATGTAAAAGGGGCATACCTCACATCACATACATAAACAGACCGGGCTGTTTGCAGATCCTTGTGCCGTATATCCACCTCGCCTTTGATTGTTGAGGAAATGTAGTGTTGCAGCAGCCCCTCCACCAAATGGAAAGCATCAGAAATCTAAACGCCGTGATGATGTGGTTCTTTAAGTAGCCTGCAGATGAAGATCAATAAACACCAATAATATTTGATCAGAAGTCCTCCCATGTGTCCAGGACTATTGAGATCTTCTAGGGCCGTCACTAACTGTTTCTAACGGAAACCCTGTGAGTGAGTGAGGGTCTTCACACGTCTCTCAATAGCTCTGGTGCTACTAGAGTGAGAAGACCACACGTGTGACTCCAACAGAGCATCTCAATTGGGGTTTGAATTGATCTGAAGAGCAATGATGAGCACCAGAAGAAGAAACCGATCACATGCACTGCACACTGAATGTAAAGGGTCAATGATGCAGGTTTGAGGGGGGGGGGGGGGAGGCGATGGTGCTGATCACTGCTCGGGGGGGGGGGACCCTCTCCTCCAGGGCTCTGCAGCGACACACTACAGTCTTTCATCGCAAGAGAAGAAAACTAAAACTAGATCTCACTCCTAAATAAAGGGCTGCTTTTATATTTGAGATTATCAAATATAGACATGTGTGTATACTCTATAGAAGAAAGGAAATGCATACATCTATATCATTCAATCTCAATGTAGCATATCACATAGATTTAGTTTACTTTACTCTTCATAATACATTTATGTGTGCACACCTTTCCTGTACCCTTTACAAATCCACAGTAGAAGTTGTGCCTTTTTTGCTGAAATCGGGAGCTGTGGGATAAAGTCCAGGTGTGTTCCTTACTTAAGGCGGTTCATGTACCAATAGCTTCTCACAAAGTGCACTACATGGGGATGGGGATGGGGATGGGGGATGGGGATGGGGGGAGGGGGGGGGGGGGGGGGGGGGGGGGGACACTCAGGAACACACCAAGGAGAGAGAAAAGGGACATAAAGATACTTTTTTTGACTAAAAATATCTATTTTTTTTGCGCACCTATTTGGTTCTTTATAAACAATGACTTTAACTGGAAGGTAATCCTCTCCAGACAACGATAGTCCTCAATGCGTGTTCATGTTTTTGAAGCGGGTCCACTCGGTTGTCAAGAGGGAAAAACAGAATGAGAGGAGGAAAGGAGGGTTGCAAAGGTGACCGTGAGAGGCGGTCGTCACTGTGAGTGGTTAAATAGTGGTTCGTCCCACGCGGAGGCAGGGTCTTGAACGTCCCTTCCATCCTCTGGAGAAGTGTTTGACAGATGGACAGCTTTGAGTTTTCTATGTACAAACTCTGCCCCGCCCCCTCGGCCCGCCCCTCCTAACGAAGGCCCGTCTGGTGGTCTTCTCGAGGGATCTGTGCGTTACTTGGCACCCTCTCCAATGCTGCCCAAAAAGCTGAAATATCCTCCAAAAGTAATATGTCCGCTTTCTAAAAACACATACACTCTCGCAGTCTTTCAAACCGACATGCAGCCATATGCATGCATGCACACGTCCTCTCTCTGAATAACTGTACACACTCCACAGGGCAGAGGAAGGCTCTAACAGTTGCTGCTGTTCCGGAACTCTCCGTTCTCAGTGATCTGCAGTTTGGAGGGGTTGGTGGGGGAGATGCCGTTGCGGGTCTGCATGCTGTAGCGCTCCTTCAGCTGCGTGAGGGCGGACATCAGACGGGCGTTAGCTGCATCCAGCGAGGCTATGCGCTTCTCCTGCACACACACACACACACACACACACACACACACACACACACACACACACACACACACACACACACACACACACACACACACACACACACACACACACACACACACACACACACACACACACACACACACACACACACACACACACACACACACACACACACACACACACACACACACACACACACACACACACACACACACACACACACACACACACACACACACACACACACACACACACACACACACACACACACACAGAGAGAGAGTTAGAGCAACAGATGGAATCTATTTATATATCCAACAAAAAGGTGCTGCATGGAAGACGTGTTCTCTGAAGGCCACCAAAGAGCTAGCGTTGCTCTGGTTCATTCAACAAAAAGCAAAGAGGTTTTTTTTATTCATAGGATTATCGGCGACTGTTTTCATCATACAAATCTTTACAATTGAACACTGTTATGATTGTTTAACTGTGATGCAGATGCACTGAGTTAACTCGGCTGTCAAAGAACTAGAGAACGAAGCTTACGGTGGACTTTTGTTCGGTGTTAGGTCATGTACAGTAAACCTACAGCATGTTGTCTCGTTTAACCACAGATATCCATGTTGTACATCAAAATGTGAAGAATTCTTAAGCTAGCCCACTTATTTCAGAAGTCAAACCCTCTTTCCAAAATGCCACTGACTTTAGGTAGAAGGGACCTAAGTGCAAACATGCAACCTTACGTTTAGTTTATTCCTGCAGGTGGGGGGTTTCTAATGCAATAACATTTTATTCTTCTTATCCAAACCCCTTTCTAAGTAAACCTTCCTTCTCTATAAGGCTTGCTTGTACAATGTGGATATACACATTTGTTCTAAATGGCTTGTTTTGTATGTGAAAAGTTATCCCAACAAAGCAAAATGATTGTAACAAAGTTGGATTACAGCAGAGTATTCACTTTGAGTTTTCTTTTTAGGGTATACATTTGAACTCCATATTAATCCAGACAAAGTCATTTTAAATAAAAGTACATTTACAAGTCACATCTGAGCATAAGTCAGTCTCTCCTGATATTGCGTACATACAGATGCAAACATTTAGTCACATAATCTGCCCCTCACAAATGAGTGTGTGTGAGGGCTTCCTACACCAGGCTCTCTGTGTTGATCAGAGCATGCAGAGCATGCAGACCATGCAGACCATGCAGATCATGCAGATCATGCAGATCATGCAGATCATGCAGATTGCTCAGAGGCAAACCTCCCTCTCTGTCTTTATAATGAGATTTCTCCTTTTCATTCTCTGCGCCTGTTTACCGAGGGAGACAACTTATTGCCTTCCTGTGGCGTGTTTGTTTGCAGATGCAAAGTCTCATTACTCGCAGCGTGAAGGAGATTAATCACCTTTCCGTGTCCGTGTCGGCGAATGTTATGTTGCAGCATCGTGGTTCCCCCCCCCCCCCATGCTGTTGTTAAATCCCATTGACATCAATCTCTAAAGACGCACCTTTGTGCTTCATTGTGTGTTGAAAGGCATTAATGAACACTTTGTCCAGCACGCAGCAGAACTGCTCTCCAGTGGTAACTTCTTTCTTGCAACTGTTTTGCCTTTTCAATTACCCCTAGCTCGTTGATAATTATATTCCCAACAATCAACATTTCAGTTTGCACTTTTTTGCTTTCCTAGACAGATTTTAAAACACAGTTTTATATGAACAATAACCACATGGATTATAGAACAGCTTCATGTTAACAGAAAACTAGATAATGTGTAAATGTAGGTTTTAACAGAGGGAGCAGAATGAAACATCTCTGGAGCGACCCTTTGTTTCCTTAAGCAGAGGACACAAGTGGCAGCACATACAAATGGAACCGCAGGCAGAAAGTATCTCTAGAACCACATGGAACCTGCAGAGTGAGCTGACCTGTGCGTCGATGATCTTCTGTTTAGAGTCCACCACGGCCTGCATGTCTGAGTGATCCTTCTTCAGCTCCTCTTCCACCGACATCAACCTGCAGACAGGACACATATATATATAAAGAGGGACAGAAAGCTGCCTTTTGACACCGGCTGCACCATTCACTTTTTTCTTAAATTGAATGTACTAGTGGATATCCAATATTTGGCAAAATATGTACAAATATCTGCATAAATAATTGTGGTTCTGCAGGGAAGCCGTTGCCTACACAACAATATTCTACAGACTAAATATACAACTGAAAATATTTGATTGTTAAAAAACCTCTTAAACAAAAGAATCAGACTTTTATCGTTTCAAAGAATGTGTCAATGGTATTGTGAATATTGTTGACCAGTTTCCTCTAAATCAAAGTCAAGTACAAATAATTGCAATTAAAAAGTTAAAATATTAAAAATACATTTCCCTTTTGATTGGGGGGATATTTCAGACCAAGCGTGGTGACAGCTGCTGCTTGTTAAAACATTCCCAAGAAAGCAACACTAAATATGACATTTATAAAGCTTTACAGTCTCTTAAAAACGTTGGCTCTCTTGATGGAGAATAATAAATACACATGACCCCTGCCATTAAATCCTTTTTTCAAGCAGCCCTGACTCCCACCCACCATCTTCCTCCTCCTCCCTCCCTCCCTACCTGCTGATGATGCCCTTCATCTGCAGGTCCTTGTCGTCCTGCTGTCTGCGCAGGCGCTCCTCGGACTCCTCCAGCCGGGCCTGGTACTCCATCAGGACCTTCTGGGCCTGCTCGTCCTGGCCCTTCAGACGGGCCTCGTACTCCTCCAGCTTCTGCACCGAGGCCCGCAGCTTCTCCTGCAGCACCAGGATCTCCTGCTGGTACTGAACAGAGAGAGGATCATCATCATGTTCTGCTTATCACCGCCATCATCATCATCATCATCATCATTAACCCTATCAGCTGGGACGCCTTCATTAACATGGCTAAGAACCAAAAGACATCTCTCACTCGGGCCTGAGATGATACCCTGTCCCTGAGAGAGTGTCCTTTAGACAGAGAAGGAAACACACGGTTCATTTACAAGCCATTTTCATTATTGCACTCTTACACTATGCCTGAATAGCTGCCCTAAAAAAGGTTTTGGGGAATCAATGATCATCTGTTTCTCCAGTGAGACCTCTGAAATAACTCTTATTGAGAAGTTCAACTGGCATACAAATAGAGTGAAAGAAAAGAGAGGCAGTTTAGGATGAAACGAGAACAAAGAGGAAGGGAGAAGGGAGGCATGGAGGTCGTGAAGTAGGAGTCTAGTCTGTGAAATAAGCTCTGGAATCTCTCCCTGACCTCTCGCTGGACCTCAGAGAGGCTTTTGAAGCAGCTTTCTTCAGGCAAGGGGGGGGACTAATGGAGAAATCGAATCTCTTCAAGGTAGAAAAACACATTTCTTACAACAGCGAGGGATACTGTGATCAGTCAGCGTGACACTGAGACCAGGGAGAGTGGAACCAGAGAAAAGCCTACAGCCACTGCGAGCTAAGAGCTAAAGGCTAACAACAACTTGCTCACAATGGCAGTTTACAAATGTTAATGTTTAACAGGTTTCATATATAAATGATTAATACAAATTGCAACTGAGGGCAGAGGAAATTGGTCAGTAAACAAAGTATAGCATATGAACATTTTGACCTGATGAATAATTGAACTTTAGCCAAATTCATTTCAATTCTTCCTCAAAGGGACATGAGCAACTGTTCTTTGTTCATGGCTTTCCCTCCAGCAGTTCAAACATCATATCTTGACATTGACAATAGAGGTTGTCATTAGGACTAAACCCTCTATGAATAAATTGATTTCATGGCAATCCAGGGCAGCTGACTGCTAATCACATGCTTGAAGTCACGCTGCTAGCATGACTAAAAGGGGTGAACAGATTGTTATACTGTCATAAATATGTAGTACTGTTTGTTCTACTTAATTAAATCAATATCTTGTCAGTTGTTTTAAAGAAAATACTAGACTATTTACTATACTTCTACATGATCTCCTGTCTCCCATCGCATCAACTACAACATTCTGGTCCTCACCTACAAAGCACTCCACCATCTGGCCCCCCCTTATCTCACAAACCTTCTCACCCCCTTATCAACCCCCACGGTCCCTCAGATCCACCGCAGCCGGACTCCTATCCATTCCCACATCCACACTCTGCAGCTTTGGGGACAGAGGCCGCTTCTCAATGTCGAGGAGGCTTGCTTGGTAGCACATGTATGCTGGGCATTTAAACAGTGATTCGGCGCCACTCGATGATGAAGTATGCTTGAAATAGTGGCTCTGGAGCAGCTTTACTCGACATTGAGAAACGGCCAGAGCCTTCTCAGTGGCAGCTCCTAGGCTCTGGAAGTCCCTGCCCCAAGATCTTCGTGACTCTCTGAGTCCCTCACAGTCTTTCAGTCCCGCCTCAAAACACATCTTTTCAACTCTGTCTACCCATAAGCCCCCCTCCCCCCCTCTCAATCAACTTCCTCTTGACTGCCTTTTCTGTTTATTTGATTTGACTATATTCATTTGCCTGTCCTTGTTTGTCTACCCTCCCTCATACTGTAAAGCGTCTGTAGAAATAAAATGTATTATTATTATTATGATTAAAGCTCCCTGCCCTGTCAAAAGTCTTCTCTGATACAAAATATTTTTAGACCAAAGAAATACAGCCTAAAAAATGAAGTGATGTTTTTTATAGGGCGTCTAATGATAAGGTCCTCGTAAGATGCTTTTCAACAATATTTAGTGTTAAGAAACCAATGTAATCTTTACTAGCATTTAGCTTGGGAACTTTATTGCATGTCATACCTTAAATCTTTGTGTCCTTTGAAAGTGTATTGTTAAAGTGCATTTTAAAGGGTGTTTTAACCTATTAAGAGACTGTTTTGTTCTAGACCTGGTACCTGCAGAAAACTTAATATTATGCAGCTTTTAATGAAGCAACACAAAATGTCAGAACAGCTTTTAAAATGATATACTTAGTAAGTTAAACTCAAATGTGTTTGTAATGTTATAGGCTATAATCAACTATAACACACTTATAAAGATACATTCAAGACATAGTCATCTATAAACTATTAGTTTATGATAAAGCCTAACAGTCTTATAATGCTATTATTTACAGTTATACAATCTTCTTCCCAGATAATAAAGTGATACATCTCATAAGGAGGTATTGGGGCCTTCTTGCCAATGAAATAAGGCTGATTTCAAATGAGCTGTGTATCTGTGTTGTGTACGTTAACATGCTGCAGCTCATTAACGAAGAAGAACTAAGCAGGTCACAGACTAACTGCCACATTCTACTTCTTTTTCCACGTCAATCTCTTGCCCACTACTGGGACATTTTCCCCATCATCCCGCTCTTCCCGGGAGGAACGGTGACGTCAAATAGATGGATCTCATTGCCTTTGGTCCACTCCTCTCTGTATCTCTAACATCTGCTGCTCCTGTCGTGAGATCTCCAGGGAATAAATGACATCTACTGTGTCTGTACCTGCCGCTGACAAACTCCCCAAACACCCACTCTGTACCCCGATGTCTTTCCCTACCACGTGTGCATGTTACATTACATGTCACTTGTTAGACGCTTTTATCCAAAGCGACTTGCATACATTCAGTACTGTGGACAATCCCCACAGGAGCAACTTGGGGTGAAGTGTCTCAGGGACACAACGACATGCTGACTGCAGTGGGACTCGAACTTGCTATCCCCTGATTCAAAGTCCAGCACACTACCCACTGAGCCACAGCCTCCCTCCGCATGTTTTAGAATAAGACTTACTGTAGATAATGTCAAAACAAGACTTAAAAAATACACCCTTTTAATATTTCCAGCGCCCACATGGAAGAGACAAAGACTACAAACACCATGAATCGCTCTCCACGGTGCATTGTGCAGAGATCAAGTGCACAGTTAGCTATCAATACAAAATATATCAAAGTACCTAATACAATGCTGAACACATTTCAAGTGAACTTGGCTCTCTCCTTGCACTGCCTCCTCTATATTTGGAATACACTGTAGGATCGACTCAGAGCAAATACAACTATTGTGCAAAAAGAAAAGAAAATAATGAATTAACTGTACTCCCCTTCTGCTGCATTTCCTTTTCGGCCTTTTAAATGGTACTTTAGCAAAGGGCTGCATGTCTTTTTTGTGTGTAATAAAAGCTGTTACTAACTTATTATTTGACGGCTGTAACTGATGTGTTTATTATAAACAAGCACTGTTCATTTGAGTGTTTCTAATTGTTTCTTATCTTGACTTATGCCTTTGACATTTGACCAACAGATTAGAAAAGTACATCTGACTATATAACAAAAGAGGACTAAAAAACAGAGGCTTTACACATCGGTTAAAAAAGCAATATCGGTAAACTGATGCAAACATAATCCATAGGACAACACACTGTTGTATGTTTTTATGTCAATTCAATTGGAATTATATCTAGTTATCAAAAACAGTCAAACCTTGACTTCCTGCTAAATCAGAAACAAAAGATCTCAAATGTTAGTGCCTCACATTTGTTATGCAATGAAACACTCAGTGGTACTCGACCGGGAAATGGAAAGTCAAAAAGCATTTATTTTGGTATTTGAACTTATTATTGAACTAGCTTGTGTTGAAATGAGAATATTATTTGATGTATTGGAATTTGCTTTTTGAAGTCTACTCCTCCTAACAAGACACATGCATGCTGTAATTTGTTACAGATCTCTGAGCAGATACAGCTCATGTAAATGTGTGTGAAGGCTGAAAATGGCTCCTGTAGATCTGTGTGTGAGGAGTGTGTGGACCGTTAGCTGCAGCTCTCCTCTCGTTGCGCCTCTGCTATTTTAAGGTGGCGGCGGCTTCTTTGTTAAGACTCAAGTTATTTCCTTCTTTGGTTGCTCTCCCTGCCGCGGCTGCTGCCTTCCATAAAGTATGAGCTATGTTAGGATGACAGGCTTGTATTCATTAAAGATGGAAAAAGACGAAGTGGGGGAGCGTGTGGCAGCCAATCAAAGCATGGAAGCGAAGCTGAGGGTAGGAACAGCAAAAAATGCTTTTTCTGTCTCCATCTCTCACATCCATGCAAACACACACAAGCTCCAACATGTACACACACACACACACACACACACACACACACACACACACACACACACACACACACACACACACACACACACACACACACACACACACACACACACACACACACACACACACACACACACACACACACACACACACACACACACACCACACACACACACACACACACACACACACACACACACACACACACACACACACACACACACACACACACACACACACACTTCAGGCTTTGTAGTTCATTCCAAAGATGGTAAGAGAGACGGGGGAAAGTTGTGAGGGAGTTATTCAAAGGCAGGCGGAGGGACCTTTTTTAATGAAGGAAGAAGGTTAAAACTACAACATCCAGCATCCCCTCACTGCACACAGTATTTCTAGGAGTTATTCGTCGATTTTGACAATATAAGTAGGGTATTTTTAGCCGTGCAAACACAATGGTTAGTTTATTTCTTGGTCAACAGCTGCAAATATTTTAATTATGGATTATCAAGTTCTGGAAGCACCGCCCATTTATTTATGAATTGACTTGATTGTTTCATGTTTGTACAAGAGGGTTTTTAAAGTGATGGATCATGGGGTGCTCTTTGCAAAGTAGTTGCCTACTGTTGCCTATGTCTGTTATAATGGATCCTTTGTCTTTTAAATGAAATACAAATCTATAAATAAAATAACCTAAACCTGATTGATCTTTTGAGTCTAGGGCTGAAAATAACAAATAATTGTTTGTTACAGACCATCAATACATCTTATTTGTCACGTAAATGAAATATGGTACAATTCCAGTGAATTTGAATCCCAAATCAAAGTAACCGTTACTTTGATTTGTAAATGAAAAAGTGATTGTTGATAGTAACAACGACTTTCTATCGTTATTGCTGTTGCTATGACTTTCCTGCACTTGACACAATGAGGCTCACTGCCGGCTGTGTGAAAAGCACAGGTATTGAAAAAAGCATCCCAGAAAAACAGCAAGTACAGGACGAAGAAAGCCAATTTTCTCAAAAATTGTAGATTGAGGTATTATGTGAGCTATTTACCTCAATTTGATGTAATAAATGTGCATATCATGACTATAAGTGTCAATTTGGGTACGTCTGAAGGACCTCGGGCTTAGAGCAAAAGGAGTGGAGGTAAATCCTGCAGACAATTAAAGTGTGGAAGGGCTGTTTAAAGGGAGGGAGGTGTATGCAGGAGCTAATGAGGGGTAAAGGAAGGAAGGAGAGTTGAGTGGGAGCGTCAGGGCGGAAGGTTGAGGTGGGTTGTGAAAGGAGGGGTTGGTAAAAGGTCAAAGGTCGGATGAGGAGGTAGGTTACCTTCTCCACCTGAGTCAGATCCTCTCTGTTTCTCAGTGACTCGGGCTCCATCCCCTCATGGTCTAAAAACTGCACATTCATATTCAAAAGCCAGGCTGCTGTGCGGTCCAGCGCACTGGGGTTCACTGGGGAGGGGGCCTAGTGAACACAATACAACACACACAGACACACACACATACACACACACATGAGCCGAGTGCAAGTGACAGGGAGGGGAGGGGAGGGGAAGGGAGGGAGGGCAGGTTGCAATAACAGAAACAACAGAAATAAGCTTGAAATGCACCAAATCATCTGGACTGAAAGCAGCAGGTGGAATGGATACACACCGCTGACTCCAAGCTCACACACACACACCAGAGCACACACCTCCAAGCGATGATCTGTGAGTGTGAGTGTGTACGCCTACAGTATCGTAGTCGCAGCAAAAAAGGTAAACACTGTAAGATTAAATTAGAGAAATTGAAATCAGCCTGGAGGCAGATACTAGTAGTTAAGGTGTGTGTGTGTGTGTGTGTGTGTGTGTGTGTGTGTGTGTGTGTGTGTGTGTGTGTGTGTGTGTGTGTGTGTGTGTGTGAGTGTGTGTGTGTGTTTCCATCTGCCAGTTATCTGATATACAGATGAGAAGAAAAGCTGTGGGCTGTTGCAGAACATGAGCAGAAGTAGGATGTTTTTACAGTTCAGCACACTCATTTGCATTGAGGGCTTTTTAAAAGGCTGAAAATCGAATATTTGCAAACGGACAATATGTAATAAAGAAATAAAATGTGGGTGCCGTTTCCTCATTGCCTAGTCTTTTTTTTTTGGAAATGTTAAATAAAACTTGTACTCCTACAGATTAAAGTGAATTATAATTGGTGTTACAATTACACTCATTCTGACTAATTATTGAATCGAGACCTGTAGGCAAAAGTTCATTTGAATCAAGACGGAGTGAGTCAAGATATGAATTTAAATTCATTTAAAAAAAAATACTTAACTTTCAATCTTTTAGATGTAACACATGTATTGTTCAATGGGTAGGAAAGTCAACTTAAAGCCAGTATGCAGAACTCAAATATTTCTGAATTTCTACTGTGGTAGGATCAAAAATAGTTATATTAAAAAAATGATGATAAATAAATATAAAAAAAATGAACCCAATGCCATCGTTAGACCACCAAAGTAATTACAGATCATCCTGTGGGAAATAAAAGTGTATGTACAATAAGTCAGTGAGAGATATTTATCTAAAAACCACAATCATCGAACAGAAGGAAAAGTCAGAGGGTCACCAAAATCATCATCTGGGAGCCATGAAGGTCTTTAGAAAATGTAAAAGAAAATCTATGTCAAGATATTTTACTAGACAATTTAAGATTTAGTGGTGCAAAAGGTCACTTGATCACAAAGCTGTTTGGATCCACCCTCTGGGGACCATTAATGTGTACAATTATATGGCGATCCATCCCAAAGCTGTGGAGAAATGTAATTCTGGACCAAAGCGATGGAGCATTACAATAAAAAAATAATAATTAAAAACCACATAAAAATCCTCACATAGTGGCTTTAAGGTCCTTTGCTGCTTCGACCAATACATAATAAATGAGTTCCCCTCACATGCAAATTTAATTAGGGTTTGGTGCGATCAGTAAATAAGTCAATACTGTAGACTATCCCACAGAGACGAGAGCAAAGCATTATGGTTAATATGCCCTTCCCTTGAGCCATTATCCAAGGGCAACTATTGACCAGTGTTTTAATTACAGCTGATAGTCCTGACCTGACAATATTGAACATAGACTTTCGGGTGAATGCATTAAACAATGTAAACCCCCCCACTGTGAGGACACACACAATGACTAAACCTAATTAGGGTGTCTGTGCCGAGCCCACCCACACAGCCTTTTTTAACATTAGATACAATTGCCGTTTTGTAATAAGAACTTTTAAGTGATTACATATGGCGCTTTCACACCAAGTACTTTTCCCAGGAATAGTTCCCGGAACCTTTCCCCGGAACTTTTATTTCCCCGGAACTATCTAGTAAATCGCGTTCACACCGGAATAAGTCCCTGAGGGAGGATTACGCAAATGAAGCCGCTGACGTCACTTCTTCTTCTTCTTCTGCTGCTTTGGGTTTACTGGCAGGCCGCAAACAACTTCACGTCGTATACTGCCACCCAAAGTCCCGGAGCCCCCCGGAGTCCGGGACTTTGGGTGGCAGTAAATCGCCACCCTAAGCCCCGGGTAAATTGCCAGAAGCGCCGACACCTCCTCATCACTCCACCGATCCCACGTTTTATTTTGTGTTGCCATAAGTTAGTCTCTCTCCGTTGGTGCGCTGGGCTAATGCTAATGCTAATAATGCTAATGCGAGGAAAAAAAATGGCAGCTTCACAAAAACTTTTCAGAGTTTTACGGGGCGTGGTTTGCAATTCGCCCAGCCAATCAGAAATTGGAACCTTTTTCTCCCCAGGAAAGTCCCTGCTCTCTAGCAGGGACTACAAATGGGTGAAAAGGTTCCCAAAAACAACATCCCAGGAACTATCGGAACTATTTCTGGGAAAAGTACGGGAAAGGTGTGAAACCGCCTGAGGCAGCTCTAGTCGGCTGTCTTGAATAATGATCTTTAAATATTGTACTGGAATTCAGAAGAATACTTCAACCACAACATTATGATTTGTGTATTAGTTAGTCACCCTGTGTGACCTTGAAACTTAGTTTTTCTCACATGCATCCACAGTGAATAAATAATACAAAATAGAAGAAAATCCTGATGAATTTAAGTTATTGGGGGCCGCGTTTAACAACTGTAGTAAAAGATCTGTTAATAAAAACTCACAGAATTGTGCAGGAAAATCCAAGTGTTATTTATCCACTTTTAACCTCACTTTTCCCCAAACACTTCCCAAGCAATTCACCAGAACGGGACTTTTTAATCAAACTGAACAAGCGTATAGTTTATCATCAATATTATTTGTGTTTAGGAAGAGGTAAGATTATGAGTTCAGATTTATTGAATTGATCCTAAATTGGGATTTTCTACATGTAAATATGGTATTGCACATACATCAAAAATAGAAACCCTAACCCAGAAAGAGTGTTTTTAAGACAGATATTTGGTTTAGTTTTGCTGTTTTTGCTGCCCTAATTTACTTAAAGTCATCGATCATTTCAGTTTTTTTTATATATGAATAGTGATTTTTTTCACCCAAGGTAACACAGGGTGAGTAATTGATAGACTATGTGTACGCTACACTGTGAGTGCGTACCTGTTTGTGTGGCCCCCTCTGCTTGGTCTCCGGACTGTCCCCTTTAGAGGAAGAGGACTGCTGCCGTAACCGCGCCCCGTTGCCGGGCCAGTCCGGTGAGTTGGTCATCATGTTTCCAGAGGTGGGCCGGGGGTAGGGTCCACTGGTGAGGAGGTTCGGGGGGGTGCGGCCCCGAGTGATGCTCTGAGGCGGGGGCTGGTCTATCCTCCGCTGGGGGCCGGCGCTGTTCTGTCTGGGCACGGTGGGCTGGTGCTGCTGCTCTGTGAGGGACAGCTGTCGACGGTTAAACTCCCCCGAGCGCCGGGTGTACTCGTCCCCGCTGCTCCCCCCCCCTCCTCCCCCTCCTCCACCTCCTCCACCGTGGTTCAAGAAGGAGTGCTTCCCTCCCGCCGGCCCATCCTCGTTGTTGCTATGGGAACTGACAGAGCTTTGGCACTCTGATCCCGAGTCGTTCATCCCGCGGGGGGACACAGGTAGGCAGGCCGCCATCTGGTACACAGGGTTCTGGAAGGAGAGGGGGGCTAGGAGCTGGGCGGGTCGGCCGGGGGTGCTCTCTGTTGCCAGGGTGGGGGGGGTCTGGCCTGACCTCCTCAGAGTGGGACCCCCCGGGATGTTTCCTTGTGGGACTCTGGCTGACCACACCCCCAAAGAGCTTACACCTTCACTCAGGGCCTCCGAGGAGCTGGGACCTGGAACCCCCTCCAGACTGCGGGGGTCCTGGAGGTCCACCATGGACAGGCTCTTGCTGCCGTTGGCCATGCCCAGGTCGGGTTCATTGGTCTCGGAGTAGCTGGAGCTGCGTGCTGGGGAGGGCTGGATCCCTGAGCTCCGTGTCACAAAGAACAGGTCCTTATTCTCCGGGGTGGGGGAGGGTAACCGGGTGAAGTCTACTAATCTGAAGGAGACAGAGCGAAAACATACAATTAATCTGGTGTGCATTTTAAAACCTCAGCCAACTTAGTTCAGCCACAAGTGAACCTTGAAATGTGGACCCACAAAAACAGGAATTATTTGGTGATTTCCTGTTTGTGAATGCACTGTAATTGCATATTTCAATCTCAGTGGAAACAGATGACAGTGGTATTGTCTTCATGTGTTTAAGTATGTCAGTATGTGAACATATATTGTAACCATGCTAGGGTCGCAAACAATGCAAATATAAAAAATATAACCTTCATGCCCAGTGCCAGATTTGGTGTCACAACATTTTCAGGTGTGTAGTTGAGATAAAAAAGACGGCAGAGTTGAAATGGGTGTAGCCTGAGGAAGGGTGTGGGATGTTGGGAGTTAGGAAGGAGAGGAAGGTGCTTATTTAACTGCTCATTCCGAAAGATTTATTGTCCATTAGATTTATAAGAAATGTGTCTTTGGCATCAACAAATAAAATAACACTCACCAAACACAGCACAAAATATAACAATGTTCTGCATCGAGTGTCAAAGCCACTAAAAGTAACTACTGGCAGTCATAATGAAAGTGCATTATTATTCCACAGGCGTGTAGTCAATAAAAAAAAAGATCACCACAACGGGTGGTACACAGTAGTGTTAACAAAATAAACATTAATATGCATTACATTATGTGTTGGTGATGGTTTTGGTTGCAGACTGTCCTAAAAGGCATCCTCGAACCACTTTACCCCCCCTTGCCCAAAATGTGTCATTGCTGCTAGTGTAATCTACAGTATTTGAGCATTTTGCTCGTCACAGTAACAGTAGAGCGTGTGGAGAAGAGTCATAAAGTCATTGAACTGACTCAGTAATGTGTTCATTAATTAGCACTTTGTCTCCATAAGCTACTGGTCATAAGTAAGGTTGTCTAGCAACAGTAGTTTGAAAATGTAGCAAAAATGCTAAGCTATTGTGAAAGTAGCTGCAGTGGAAAATAGTCTTGAGGCTAATTTTGGAGAATGTGTGGCCCCTGCAGTCCCCTTCATCTTCCCTCTCTTCCTTCCCTTCAGCCAGCAGATGGAGGCTTTACCGCCAGAAGAGACGATTACCTTGACAGCCGTGATTCATCTTCCAATAATCTCAATGATTCACATCCCGCTCATCTCCTCCTTTCTATGTCCTTCTCCCATCCGTTCCATTACCCTCCCCTCATAACTGCTTTTCCCCTCTTCATTCTGCTCAATTTCTTCCCTCTCTCAATGTTGGCACTGTCTCCTACTTTGCGTGTCACTGGTTGTTATGCAAGCAATTATGTGAGAACTCATTTGAATATCGCCACACCACAGACACACAAAAGTCAATATATGAGCAAACGGTAACTGTGATAAAGTAAAGAGGCTTTGACACCAGGTCTTATAGGGACATCTCTTAATTAGCTCTATTGATCGTGGACCTATGATTACCATAATGACAGCAGCTGTATGACCCTCTTCCTGTTATGTGCAGTATGATCTCTGCTGGTGTTCTGGTGTTGTGTTTGCTGGCGTGTGTGTCTGCTGGCTGTTACTCATACATCTGTGGGCCCCTGTGCCTTCATGTTAATCTTTATAAGTGTCACCTTGCTTCCTGTCATTGTTCTGCCAGGGAGTTAGATAAGGGAGATGAGGTGCAGTCAGAGAGTGTATTCACCCGCAGGAGAGTAAAGAGGTTTCATCTGGCTGATGTAAACAAGCAGGGGTGACACTCACGCTGTGTCACGGCAACGGCTGACAAACATTAACACTCAGCAGAACTGCTTTGAGAACAGCATCTCCTTCACAGGCAGAAGCTCCTCCGTGTTTTATTACCCACTTGGATTTATTGGTAACTGACCTTTATACAAACGGATGAGCTGTTACAAGGGTTGCAAGTTTATATTGTTGGCACCAAATGTTTTTATTTGTTTGTTTCCCAATATAAGGACTGTTTAAAGACTTTGTTTATTGGCTTAAAAGGCTGTGATATCTACCACTGCCAAGTAGGTATTGTTTTTTCCAGGAATATGTAAAAAAGCTTTAGCTAGATTTTCATAAAACTTGGTGTAACAGTGTTAAATTGGCAAATGAAGAACAAATTCAATTTGGGAGTGGATATGAATCACAGTGTGGATAAACAAATACATTTTCACTCAGCAATGAGAGATGAAGCATGGGCCTTGACTGATGTCTGCGCTCTCAGGAATATGTTCTGCTTGTACAAAGAGTCATTTGTATTTATTTCACTCAAAGACTTAAATATATAAATATGCAGAGAAGGAGCAGAAATGCATACTATACATGTTTTAATTGTCCTATATTAAGGCTTTGCATAGCTATGGTTGTCACGGCTTGAACAGTCCGCTGGCATCACAGGCTCCGCCCTTGCATGGTTCAGGTCCTACCTGACAGACCGTAGCTTCTCGGTACAGCTAGGTGCCTTCTCCTCTGCCAAAGCCCCTCTTACCTGTGGGGTTCCCCAAGGCTCGATTCTGGGCCCCATCCTTTTCCTACTGTACATACTGCCCCTAGGTTCAATACTCACAAAACATAACATTCCCTTCCACTGCTACGCCGACGATGTACAGATATATCTGCCTCAAAAAGCTAATGTCACACACTCACTACAGCAGCTGATGGACTGCTTAGCAGAGATTAAATCCTGGCTGAGCAAAAACTTCCTCAACCTCAACGAGAGCAAGACTGAGGTCATCTTTTTTGGACCGCAACCTCCAGCCTCTCCGGTTGATATTCTGGGCTCTCTCAAAAAAAACATCCTCCCCTCGGTCATGAATCTTGGAGTGACATTCACCAGCACTTTTAAATTTGACAAGCAGGTTAGCACCGTAGTAAAATCCTGCTTTTTTAAAATAAGACTATTGGCCAAAACCAAGTCGTATTTATCTTTTAAAGACTTGGAAAGGGTTATTAATGCCTTTGTAACCTCGAGACTGGACTATTGTAACGCTCTGTATGTGGGTATGGACCAGGCCTCAATTAAACGCTTACAGCTAGTCCAAAACGCGGCTGCACGTTTACTGACTGGTTACAAAAAGCGCGACCACATCACCCCAATTCTGGCCTCACTACACTGGCTTCCAGTTCGGTTCAGAATTGATTTTAAAGTCCTTTTATTTGTTTTTAAAGCCCTAAATGGGCTGGCTCCGGCCTATATAACTGAACTGCTCCAGCGCTACACCCCAGCCAGAGCTTTAAGGTCTGCTGACCAGCTGCTGCTGGTAGTGCCCAAGACCAGGCTAAAAACCCGAGGGCACCGAGCCTTCGCAGCAGCTGGCCCCAGGCTCTGGAACACTTTGCCCCTCCATGTGAGGTCGGCCCAGACCCTAGGGGTTTTTAAATCCACATTAAAAACACACTTCTTCTCTCTGGCCTTCTAATTAGAGCGGAGCACGACTCCTGACTTTTCCGTGTGTTTTATATCTGTAATAGTTATATCTGTTGTAATTTATTGTTGTTTATTGTGTTTTGTAGTAATGTGTTTTTTATTACATGTACAGCACTTTGGCTCGACCAAAAATCGCTTTTAAAATGTGCTTTATAAATAAAACCTGATTTGATTTGATTTGATGGCTAGATAGCCATGCTAGCAGCTGCAGGAACGTTAGCTAGCTTCCTTTGACGTGCTGCTCGATTTAACAGCACATATACTCTATCAAATAGATAAAAACCAAACAAAATAGTCTTTGAAACTTCTAATCTTTCAGTTAAACATAAAACAGTGTAATCTGCATGAATGAACACATATGTGTGTGTGTTCTAGAGGAGGTGTTTAATATGTCTTACCCTGAAAGCTCGTTGTCTATGACCATCTTCTGCAGGCCGGTGGAGATGCTGCAGCCGGCCTCAGGGGGGGGGCGAGCCTGAGAGCTCTGAGGAGGGTCCGGGGCTCATCTGGACGCAGGACGGGTTGGACAGAGCCGAGTTGACCTCCCGCAGGATCCTGGGCAGAGGACCCAGCTTGGAGGCTACGCTCTGTGAAGAGGGAGACACAAGGCAAAGGAAACATAACTCTGGAAATCTTCATTACGTTAACTGGATGTAATTTCTGAGCTTTTTAGCTGAAGACGATATTTGCATATTTTTTAGACTTTGCTATTTCCCCTATGCCATGCATTCAACTCTCTTATTCAGACAACATACTGAATAATGAATAAGGCCGGTCAGCCTGATGGACCTAACCAGACACGCTGTGATTTCTGAATTATTGAAAGAGAGCAGGATGCTCTAACAAAAAAACTGAAAAAAAGAATCTGCCCTTTATCTAATTATTACCAGCTTCCCATCTGCTACCAGCGCTAATGTACACGTCCTTGTAAATCCATTAATAAGCCTCACCCAGCATCTCAGGCTTCACTGTTTACGTAATGCAATAATGAATTATTGATTGATATGATTTCATAAACATCCTAATGTAGTCTGATTCAAACCCTGAAGCTTGTGATAATAATTTAAAGACCTTTGGACCTCCGCAAAAGCTGATTTCGATCCTTTAAGAAATCTTTAGAATATTTATACATCCCAATTTCTTTTGGAGAGAAGCGATTGCATAACAATCTGAATTGTTTTTGAAAGCATGTGGCATACTGTGTTCAGCACAGCACGCTGGTGGCTATAACAAACAGCTCTCGGAAAAAAAAGAATCAAATAATGAAGTAATATTCACTATTAACATGTCTCAGGCTTTGGAGACGGACAATTTCTTCTTTAAAGTCTCACACTGTTTTAAAATCCATACAGGACTTTTCAACCTTTCCCAATAATACATTTTCTGTTTCAAACACTTGACTCCTTTCTTTACAGGGATTGTATAAAGCAATAAAAGTGTATTTATACGTTTTGGATATGAGATTTTACTTCTTACTTCCTTACATAACATTTTATTTGTTGGCCGTCTGGGACTTCAGAGAATAAGGAATCCTACAACACGCTGAACAAAAGCAGCCCTGTGCCTGCTGGTACTCTACCTATAAACAAGGCTTTAGCTACCATCATTCTTGCTGCACGTCTCAATTTAACGCAGGGCCGCCCCTGGCCAACTTGTGGCCCCACGCAAAGTTATGTGATGAGGCCCTCTGTGTCGCGAGCGTCGCTTACACTAATTGCACCGCATAAGCGCATAAAGGTGCGCCGCATAAGCAAATCGATGGACAAATGAGGAGGTGACACTAGTTGACAATACATTCTGAGTGAGAGAAACTCCTGATGATGCTGAGTCAGTACCTGGTCCATCTGGAACACCACCTCAGAGAGGAGGGAGTGCAGGGTGGAGAGCTCCCTGCCCAGGTCGATGTACCCCTCGAAGCCCGCCGTGTTGGAGATGGTCTCTGGGTTTGAGATTTCCAGCAGGAAGCGCTGCATGTTGGTCCACTCGTGCTCCAGGAACTGGTTCATGAAGGACATGTACTCTTCCTTGTTACCAAATCTGAAGGCAAACAAGGACAGGAAAGGGGACAATGAAGAATGCAAAAAAGTTATTTTAAGCAAATTCCAAAGTCCTCTGCTAATAAGATTGGTACGGATAGTTTCTCTTTATCCAAATACCCCACACTCACTTGGTGAAGTTGGCCAGGTTTTGTGTGACTTTAGCGATGAGTGTGAGCGTGCGTGCTGTGCGGTCGTCTGGATACTCCTGCATCAGATTGAACAGCGAGGGGGACATGATGGCGGGACAGAGGAACCGCAGAAACAAGGAGGCGCTGATCAGACGCTCGCTGATGTCTGGGCGACCCCTGTTGCTGCACTCCTGACGCCACGACGCAAAAACTTCTTTCAGCTCCCTTGGAAATACACTGGAGAGGAGGGAACAGAGAATGAACATCATGCCACATGGAAATAATTAATAAAGTGTGAATTAAAGTACACATGAAAATGTTCTTGGTCTTTTTTATATTCCCAAACCATACTTTAGGGACAGATGGGCTGGAGCTGTGATTGAGTGATTCATTCTCACTCCTGCTCCCCAACGTAAGAATACAAATGATTTCATCAAGTTTTGTATCACTTAAATTGCTCTTGAATTTAAAAGAGCTGCAGAAATGTCATAAAGCTGTTAGGAATAGATGCTAGGAGACTGCAGTATAGACACAGAGGAGAGCACATGCACCTCCTGAGAATCGTTGTGAGAATGATTCTTTACAAAAAATAGCCAATTATGAATATCAACACGTAATCTAAAGCGATATGTATAATTCAGAACAGTTTTCTTTTAACATATGATTTGCATTTGCCATTTTTCCTTTGATGAATGCAAACAACAAGAATGAAGCTGTCACTGATTTGATTGCAATCACTTTCTATACATCTTGTGTTCTCATTATTCAGAACGCCTTGGCTTTCCATCGTTTCCTTTTCATTAGAATTGAATCCAATCCCTTTTAAACTATCAATTATCCATCATTTTAGTTTTTCTCGCATGCCAACATTATAATGAAGATTAAAAAAAGGAGACAATTTCTGATGAATTAAAGAACATGAGTTGTGTCAAAGAGTTCTGTAAAAGTTTGTAAACAAAGGTTTTAATAGAGTTTTGCCTTTTGTTAAACAAGGCGCCTCATGTACTTATAATACATTAAGAATATTCTCAGTTTTTTGTTTATTTGTTCACTGTGGAGGCATAGAAATCAACATTTTTGATAAACAAATGATCATTTTTGGGATTAAGTGTTTCTATGATTACTTGGAAGCGAGGATATTTTAAGTATGCCCATTGAGACACTCTGTTTATTAATGCTGTGTTCCAGTACTCACCAGTATGAGTTGATGATTTTGCAGAAGGCCAGCTCGCAGCACATCTTCAGGTTACTCTGGTGCTCCTGCAGGTCGCCTGAGGAACATCTGGACGGATCCACCTCACAGTTCTCATCTGACTCATACAGAGCCTTGATGAACTCACCTGAAAGCAAACACACAGGAAACAGGAAATTAGGTAACGTATTGAGCTTTTCTAGATCAAGCAACTGTATTATTTGCTTATGCTCGTGAATTGAAGTGCTGCAAAGTCCTACAGAGCTGAGCGAGGACAGAGGGAAATATGATGGCTAAGCTACGGGGAACAGAGTTTTACATTGTCCTTGAGATTTTTGCAGGCTGAACCATAAAAAAACGGAAATTACTTTTTATAACAGATCATTTTAGTTTGACCTGCTGTGACAACGAACAAAAAGACTGACAGAGCTAGAAGATTCATGCACGCCAAGTAGGGCTGCACGATATTGGAAAAAACTGACATTGCGATATTTTCTTCCGCTGTGATATATATTGCGATATGAAAAAATACAGGAATTGAAGAAAAGACCGTTTTTTTGTCCGCAAACCATCCTTTCTTGAACTTTAATGCTAGACAATTGGTATTTTTTTAACAATATTTAACCGGATGAAGGATTTTAGACACGGACTTCTGGATCTTAAGTTATCAGAGCAACAAGCCTGCATGTCACTCACTCAAGTACCCCTGACATGAGAGCCGCGCGAGTTTTCCTTTTGTAGCAAGCAGCAAAATAATTGTAACATGACGTGCTTGAGTTCATTTGCCTACTTAATCTCGCACGTCCTACATTTAAAAAAAAAAAAAAATGTTTTAAAATGTAAAAAAAACAAACAAAAAACGCACGTCCTGCGATGTCAATATCGCGCATGCGCATAACGCGATTATTGCCACGACACGATATATCGTGCAACCCTAACGCCAAGCAAGGTTACCCTCACAAAAATAGTGGCAAATATAACAATGTCCTTTGTGTTATGGGATAAAAGACAAACCATAACTGCTACAATGACTCCATGCGTGTCCTTGGGATGACTCGGTGGTTTCAATAGTTCAGCCACTCATTAAACAATAACAACTACCACCATAAACACTAATGCATAATTGACCAGCCTTTCATATTTCTCTGAATAAACCCTGTGATGCATCTATAGTTCAAAAGACACACACATAGACCGACATAAACACACACGTTGAGCATTAACATTAGCAGAGGAGGGGGTGACAGGAGGGATGTGTGCCGTTTGAAGATTAAACTGCCACTGTGTACATTTCTGAATGAGGGAGGGAGTAAAGTACACAGTGCATACAGAGTGCTTATTGTTACGACTGCAGACAGACAAACACACCTGATCTGACCTTGTCTAACACTGCAGAAGTGGGGGTAAAATAATCGATTATTTCTACAAAGCTGATCCTGTAACTCGTTGGGAATTCCAACAGCAGCTTTTAAAAGCAGACAAAACCAATTAAAATGAAAACTCTTGAGTGAATGAATGCCTTTAAAGGGGTCAAGCAGATACAAATTGAAATACTTCAAAAAAGAAACCCCAAACTACGAACACATAGTAACTTTTTTCCACTTTTAAAACTATTTCTGACTCTAGATGAGGAGCAGCAGGTAACAGCCTCTGCCTCCCATCTCTTCCGGATCACTGCTCCACTCACCCAGGGCGTCCTGCAGGTACTTCTGTCCCACCAGTTTCAGGTATTCCTCGATGGCCTTGGTCGCGAGTGTGTTCTCTCTGAAGATGAGGTGCTCGTTCTCCCCGCAGCGATCCACCTCCGACATCATCAAGTCAGTGAGGAAGTCCTGCAGACAACAACAAACACAAACACAGGGTCAATCACTGCAAGTCATAACATCATGTGAAATGATTGACACGTTGTCTGTAAATGTTTTGATAATCTTGCATTTAAGTGGAGTTTTTCTACAGTAAATCAAATGTATTCTCTGAATAGAGTTTGCATGTATGAGTGGGTTGTAATGGGAACCCAGATTGGTCATCACAGTTTCCTCTGACTCATCTCTATCCACTTCCTCCGTTTGTCCTCTCATATTTTACATTAGCCATTTCAGGCACTGTTATTCCTACTTTCCACTCGTGATCCCGTGGGTGTTTGGTTCCATTCTCCAGCTGAAACACCTGCTCCCTATCACTAATCCTCCTCAGTGAACACAAACTCCCCAGCCACTTTTCACCTGTTCACTAGCTGTGTTTTTTGTTTCCTTTACTCTGCATATAGTCAGGTTGTTTGTTTTTGTGTTAAACACCAAGGTCCCACAAACTAACCAGCAGTAGAACAGAGAGTCTTGTTCGCTGCGAGGTAGAATGACTGTTTCTGTCAATGCAGTCTGTTGGCTTTGCTGAGCAGAGATACAAACGCCTCAGTTCCCTGTTAGTGTCAGCTGTCTTTTGGCAGAGTATAACTGTATAAAATATTATAAGTATACGGTACACTTGAACTGCTATTGATCTTTTTAGCCTTTTTGAGCTGGCTAAAATACATGTATGTGAGGCTGCTGCCCCCGTACAAAGCAGTCATTTGCTTTCTGTGTCGTCTGTTTTCTGCCGACCTCCATCTACAGTACGTAGAAAATTAAAAGAACATCCATAACATTCATCTGTTTGCAACTCATATATCAATATTCCAATTACTGTATATAGACTATTGCACTGTTTCTATTATATTCTATTTTATTGTATTTACTTGTACTATTTTATCTGTTTTATTGTGTTGCACTGTTGGAGGAGCCTGTGACCTCCGATTTTCATTGTCATAACTACACTGTAGCTATGTAGCTATGCACACATGACAATAAAAGCCTTGAAACTGACTATGGATTAGTACCTCACACTATCTCTTTGACTTGACTGAGCAGGAGAAGGTTAGCAATGAAGTTACTGGAAATCACAGCTTAATAACAGCTTGGATAAAGAGAATGCATTTGCACAACTTAGCCCCATCCAACAAAAACACACATGTTTGGTGATATATTTGGGTGAAACTGCAATGTCTTTTGATGATTTCCTGTGGGTCTGGGATCAGGAAACACATCTTTCACAGACATGTAGTCATTGGTTCCACTGTTGATATAAAAACACAACATATACTAGCATTCATGCTAACAACATTAGCTACTTAATCTCCTTCCTTTTCCCTGTCTTGCATCTATTTCCACATGTATCTTTTTATTTGTAAAGGTTAGCAGCGTGCCTCACAACCCTTCATCAAGTCACACCATGACACGGGTGGACATCACACGTCCAATTATCAATGATAAATATCCACTTTTCACATCTATGTGCAAAATGGAATAACAATCCCTCTCAATTTACTGGTGCGATCACATTTCTATGCCCATTGAACGTTGAACAAAACATAATTCTGTCATTAAAATAAACGGAAGGGAACAAAATAGCTCTATTTAAATCATCTTTTGAATTTGACAGAACAGATGGAAAACAGTGAGAGTACTCATATTGTTAATATAATGACAGCAAACTATTTATTCACTTTCATTCAAATGCTCAAAGGTTGATTTTGACACACGCCATGCTGTGCGATGAGCAAACAAAGACAACAATTAGCTTGTCTCCGTTTCCCACAAGTAGAAATGGAGAGTATTAACAAATAAAGGCAAAAGAGAAAAATCCAAGAAGCTGCATGACTCAACTTTTACAAAAGTTAACATCACTTTAAATCAACATGTCAATGTGATATGTGTTTTATCTATCTTTTAAGTCTGCAGTATTGAAACATGTGTATAGAATTCTCTTATTTATACGTGTTACTTTCTTGTGAAGGTCTCTATTAGGACTATACAGTATTCAGCAGGAGAAGGAACATGACAGGCGGAGACATGCATCACAGCTCCCAATATCCCCCAAAAAGTCTGAAAAGGAGAGATGGAAATGGAGCCATCTGGGGATGAATCATCCCTTGTTTAGATCCCTCCGAAATATATCTGGGTGTACGCTCCTGTAAGTCCCCTGGCAGCTTGTAGGGGAACCAGCGTGGCAGCAGCGGAGAAGAAAGCCAAGTGACAGATGTAGAGAAGGAGAGGAAGGAGAGACAGAGCGGTGGTCTTTAAAGAAGAGAGGAGGAGGCGGAAGGAGAGACGCAGCCTCTCAGACTCTCTATAGCTGCTGCAGACGCCTGTTATCCAGCTAATCAAAGATACACCGCAGGGAGCCAATCAGCACTGATGTGCAGCCAAAGGAGCCTTTTTGGGGACGCATTTGCACATTTCACACATGGACCAACCCCATGAACACACACGCAGACAAAAATCTCAAGTTTTTAAAATTTGCATTTATACGAATTACCATTTTAATTCAACTTAGATTGTAGCATTAGAAGTGTGTTTGTAAGTCTATGCGTGTGAGTTTGTCGTGATCTGCTATTCACACAGACAATGATATCATAATATAATATACAAATATGTGCGTTTTCATGGTTTTTTGTGACACACTATGAAATCAGGTCAACGCAAACAAAATGAACGTCTACAATGCAATTTGAATAAATTACAAATGTATCTGCATAAGTCCATTAAAAATACCTAGTACAGTTTTTGCAGTGTAATGACGAAAAATAAATGTTGAAGATTGAGGGGCAAGTCAGTGAAAAGTGTTAGTGACAATTAGGGGATGGATGTCAGTGATCATCCATTGTAAAGTAGTACAGCTAAATCTATCAATTCAATGGTCTACCTACGCTGTAAAATGTATTATCTCTTCAATTTACACACGGCATCTATTGCACGTCTGTCCGTCCTGGGAGAGGGACCCCTCCTCTGTTGCTCTCCCTGAGGTTTCTCCCATGTTCCCCTTTAAACTGTGGGTTTTTCTCCGGAAGTTTTTCCTTGTACGATGTGAGGGTCTAAGGACAGAGGGTGTCGTTTTCTCATACTGATATTCTGTACAAACTGTACTGTTGTATTTGTTGTAAAGTGTCTTTATTGTAAATTATTTTTATTGTATGTACAGCACTTTGGCTCGACCAAAAATCGTTTTAAAAATGTGCTATATAAATAAAACTTGATTTGATTTGATCAATTAGGATAATTAACGAGTGGTTGTACAAGAAGGAGATATGTACGGAAGCTAGGACAACTCTAAAAAATATTCCAAGTTTTAGGGCCTGATATTTCAAAGACTGCACACACCACAGTGATCAGGATGCTTCATGAGTCACAGCTTCATGGGGGGGGAGGAGAAGAGGAAGAGGACAAATATCTTTAAAAAACCTCCGTAGACGTCACGGCTGCAGTTTTGCCAGAAGCCATGTGGGAGACTCTGAAGTCAGCTGGAAGAAGTTATTACGGTCTGATGAGAAACTGAGCATTTTGGCCCTTAAGACTAAATACCATGTTACACTGCACATCATCATAAACACAGCCCCCCCCACCGCGAAGCACAGCGGTGGCAGCATCACGCTGTGGAGCTGCATCCACACGACTTCTGAGGGGAGAGGGCCAAATTCATTCAGGGGAATCCTGAGGAGACAAAAAACTGATGTAGTCTGCAAGAAGCCTGTGACTAGGGAGGGGGATTGTTCTCTAGAAAGACAATGACCCCGAGTAGAAAGGCAAAGCTACACTGACTTTAAGACAAGTGAACGTGTGATTGGCTCAAGGATGTAATTGCTGCCAAAAGGGCATTGACTGAGTTTAAGGAGGTGAAATTAAGCATTTTGTGTTGTATAATACATTTGAACACTTTGCTTGACATTAAAAGGGTATATTGTTCTGTTGATTAGTTTCAAAAAAGTCTAATTAAATATACCTTAGTGAACTTTACTGCACAGTAAATTACCCCTCGTGTTTCCGATGATATTTTCTACTTCAAGAATCTCATTTATGCTGGCACCATTACAATTTATGTAACACTTTAGAAATAAGAAAATGTCATCGCAATTATGATCTTTTCTCTTTCCTCTCCCCCTCTATGGCTCACCCCTCCCTCCTTCCCTCCCTCTCCTCTGTACTCCCTATGAGGCCACTGAGGCGAGGCAAATCCAGGTCTGATTACAGACAGAGGACGATTGGAGGAAATAGAGAAGGAAAGAGTCTGAAACTGAAACTGAGAGCCGGAACAATTCCTGCTGGTAGCCTCAAACTCAAATGTGAGCCCACCACAGCTGACAATCTCTCTCTCACAGAATGTCGTGAGCCTGCAACTTATGAGTATGAGCGTACATGCTCTCAGAACTTCATCACAACATATTGATATAAGGAAATTAGAGGGACTATAAAGTTGGATTTGCACACTATCTCACCTCTGCCTTGAGTACAAACTGCACACATTATCTCCACTTTTCTTCAGTGCAAACCATATGCTGAGACTGATATCTTACCTTCCAGGTGGCAACTTGTGCCCTGGTTTTCTTTTCAGTGTGCTACTAAAACAGACTTGAAAATGGACCACTCTGGTGTTTACAGACATGTCACAATCCCTAATTCGAGAGCTGGCTGCATTGACAGGGCTTTGAAAATCAAACCAAGAAGATGTGAATTTATATCTTATAATAACCAGACCAAGAGATTATGCTAGCCATTGTGGGATGCTACAAAACCAAGAGAAGATTAATCAAAGCCTGGGTGTCAAATATGGCATGTTGTTTTGTTTTTTTAGCTGTGACCAATAACTTTACAGTTTGCTGTGGCAGTCCAGAAAAACAATTCCCAAACCTTTGGAGGAAGTAGGAAGAACTAACCTAACGTAAATGCTACCTTAACTGATCAGGGGAAACACATCTAATAATAATATACTCCTTTGCTCAGATTCTTCAGACCAACTTGTAACA